AAGCACTAGACCAGGGAAACGAATCATACATTCAGGACTCCTTTACCCTTTTTACCACTCTCTGTTAATCTTGAATGGCTAGTTCATCCTTAGCTAGTTCCCCACCTTAACCAAGCCTCTTTCAAACCACATGCACTCTTGTTTCCTATTTTCTTATATGCAGATATGTGCAAAAACGTCGGAGAGAAGGAGGAACGACGTAATTTTCAGTCACTAAAGACAGAGACCTGCGATTTTGCCAGAAAACTTCCCGAAATGATTCAACACATGAGGAAGTTCAGTTCGCCTTAGAAAAATCTAAAGTTTTGGTACAATTTCATCCTCTAGTATTTCTCTCTTTTTAAATAGCATTTCCCCTTTCTAAAAAAAAATTCCGAAAATAGGAAAGGAAAGGAAATAAAAGCCTTAAAGAGTCTAGAAAAGTCAAATTTTAAGTCCCAAGGCAACTAGAGTTTGATTTTATAGAGTTTTGGAGACCATTTTCTGATTCTCGGAAAGAATCTAAGTCTGGGGGAACAACTTGCGGTTTTGCATAATAATTTGCATCATCCAGATTCATCAGGTAACCCGAAACACTTTAACTCCACCACTTAAACAACCCTTTAATGCCAAACGCCGTCTACTCTAGATGATGTCTTTGATGAGAATTCACTTTTGCACTTAATGAATGTAGAGAGCTAGTTGACTGAAATCGAGATTTAGATTATTTAACTTTTGCATGACAGAAAAAATGGACTAGTATCTTTTGTGCCATGGTGAAAATTTTCTAGACTAAGTTGTTGATTGATGCACGATCTGTGGTCTTAGTTTAGGAGTTCATGTCTCTGAGATTTGTGCATTTCCTATTTTTGTTTTCACTAAACCAGTTTAGATTTTTGCTTTGTTTAGGGACAAACAAAGGTTTAAGTTTAAGGGAGTTGATAACACCGTATTTTGACCACTTTTGTGGATCGTTTTAAAATACTTTTCCTATGTTTTTATTGCTTTCAAATACTTTTATTATGTTTTTCTAGTATTTTTAGTTCCAAGACTCTTTTCAGGAAACTTAGGAAAAAACTTAACAAAATGGATAGAAAACTAGATTTTCAGCTCAGAGTCAAACCGTCAGAAGTTCACGCCCGATTGAAGGCCTTCTCACCGTCTGATCCAGCTCAAATTTGGAGATCTCAAAGATGGAACTATCAGCTTTCCAGCACACTTTACAGCTTGGCAATCCAACGATTCAATCAAAAGTTACGCGAAGAGCAAGATGTCCTGTAAATCAGCCAGCAAGCATTTCCACCGCGACCAATAGCCATTTCACCACGGTCATAGGCTACCCGACCGCGGCCAAGCATCCATTCCCCGAGGCCACGTCCCTTCCGACCGCGGCCAGCCATCTCCGATTTAGAAGGCCCATTTCTTAAGCCCAAGTCATTTTCTCAGCCTCAATTCCGGAACCATAGAAACCATGGAGCATTAGAAACTATAAATACTTATCATTTAGGTCATTTTTAGGGAGAGACGAAATACTTTAGAAAAGATACAACTTTAACCTTTGTTTTAGGTTTAGGGAGAGAGATCTATCTCTTGAACCCTTTTTATTTCTCTGTTATTTTCGATTTCTATTGTACCTTTTAATACTATGTTTTTGGTTTTGTTCATCATGTCTGAGTAGTTTTATTGTTGGGTCAAAGGGATTTTTGATGGGGATATATATGTTCGATGAGGATTCCATGAGCTATTGAAGCCAAATCCTAGAACTTTTTCTTCTGAATTTACTTTTAATGCATGGGAGTAGTGTCATGAACTACAATCTGATTTAGATTCTTGGTGATACAAAAGTATTCATCCGGTGTCAGATATAGTTTGGGAGAGCAAAACAAACATAAGAGTAGAAACCTACCTATGAGTGATTTGTGAATGCTGACGAGTCTTAAACATATTGCATCTTTTCTCTTCCAGGGCCAAAGTGGAAACCTACTGGTCAGAGTTGAGAGAGATAGTTGTCTATGATCACGACAGTGGCGTATTCATTGGTCTGTGATTCGAGTTCAAAAAGTTTTAGCTAGGATCTTATTTAATTTACTCTTTAGCAATGTTTTGAATCATTCATACCCCGGAGAAAACTTCCCTGAAACCCAACGCCTCTTTTCTATTGATTTTCACAGATTTTATTTCAAGCCTTAGTTCATCATTTTCATTCTCTTAATCGATTTTTATTTAAGCAATTAGGCTTAGCCGTTTTTCTCATTTTTAGTCGATTTTATTAAGTTTAGTTTTTAGGTCATTTAAATTCTCGTAATTCTCGTTAAGATTAGTTTTTACGTTTTAAAAACACCACCAAACCATTACAAAATTCACTTGGTTCTAGACTTCCTTACTTTATATTTATTTCGAAGGCTTTTGCAGGAAAGATCCTCATTCTCTATGTATTCGATCCCTAAGTACTACAATCGATCAGCTGTGCACTTGCGGCTATTGATTTCATTTAGGGTAAAACTTGACACCCTCACCACACGACACATCATGGTTACAAAGGAACAAATCATCTCAGAATTTGCATATTAAGACAAGCTTAAGAGAGGTAATCTTCTCAATCATGTATTTAACTTATATCATTCTAGTGTTCTAACTTTTTTTTCATTATTCATATGTACAAAATTTGATATCCAACCAAATCAAGCTGAATGATTCTTATCTTCTCAAGTCATATTTAACTTCAAATCTCGGCTTTATGTAAGTAATATATTGATCTTTGTTTGTTTCATTCTTTGTCTCTAAATATATATCATTCGGTTTGTTTTGTATGTGTTTAAGTATCAGATGCATTGTTTGAAGTTTGAACTTTGGAGTTTAGACTTTGGAGACTATGAGTGATGTGATTTCAAAGAGATGTTTGTTTCTTTGCCTTAGTACTTTTTTTTAAAACTCCCTTATCATTCAAAGACATGTTTGTTTGATCTTTGTTATAATTTATGTGTGTTTAGATGTTTGGATTGGAACTCTTCTTTTATGTTTGTGTTAGACATGTTTTTTTTAGATGACTGAATGATGATTTCAGATAGTTTGGTTATTTTTTGGATAGTTCGGTTATTTTTTGGTTTTTTTTTTAATATTTTCGGATACAAAATATTCGAACAATCAAATACCCGATTGTTTTTCAGATTATTATCGAAACTAAAAATTAATATCTGAACCGATCCGAACCCAAAATAATCCGATCCAAAATTTTCTAAATACCCAAATGGATATTATATTCAATATCCAACAACCCGATGATCCGAATATATCAGTTCCGTTCGGGTTCAGATATCCAAATGCCTCGGCCTACAAGTTTTTAAACTCTCTAAACTTTTTATACGTCGTCGTTGAGAGATTATCTTCCGTCTATTTTTTGATTGGAAGATAAAGAAGCTGTACCCAAAAACTCGATTTTTGAGGCCGATGAAAAAGGCAGATCGGGTAATCAGAAATCGGCAAGGATTCTGGATACCGGAAAAAACAAAAACCAGGAGGCTATATCGGAATGTTAGGCAACGCAAGCAGTAAGAGTTATTGAACACAAGCCCCAAGTCCAAGCCCAATGTAGTGTGATGTCGTAGGCCCATATATGTTAGGGTTTCCTTGCAAGATAGTTTCTATATAATTGTGTGTAATGTTTTTGGGAAAATACCTTTGAGAGTTGTCGACACAACTCTCCTCTTCTAAATTTATGATATCAATCCAAAACTTTATTAATCTTGGTATTCTAAATAAAGTTTTCTCATCTTTACTTTCCTTGCATTCAATAAAGCTCAGTGAGCTATTTAATTTTCTCTATCTTTTATTTATCTTATTAAGCTCCTTCAGAGCATGAATAATCCTTGCTTGAATTATCCTACATGGTATCAGAGCTTCAGTCGTTCTATGGGATTTATAGATTTCTTATTCAACCAGTTTATGGCCTTTCTCATACACCACTGCTGCTGTATCCAAGACTTCGTCTTTTTCAAAAGCTCCGCCAAAAGCTCCGCCAAAAGCTCCGCTGGTCTTCCTCAAATCCAAAGAGAAATGAAACTAAAGAAGTCAGAGAGTGAGCGAGAGGAGAAGGTCTGCGTGTCAAATCCGAAGACTTGTGTATGGAACGTTGAAGCTAGGATTGGGTCTTATAAAGATTGGATTATGGCTGAAAGTTTTCGGTTTGGTGAGCGCACATAAGGTGTTCGATGATATGCCAAAGAGGAAGACAGAATGATTAGTAGCAGTGAGTTAGCATAGTGTTGTAGTTCTTGATACGAGGCTGAGAGTGATTAGTGTGTCGTTAGATGTGGAAGAAGACTCACCTTCATTATGAGACAGCTTAGGAGAGTTAAACGAGGTAAAGAAAATCCGGACTCTTCGTGAGATAAATAGGCTACAAAGATAGACCTGAATAGATCTCACACTAATGACTGATTTTATGGTGGAGTGAGGTAATTGACTACTTCAGACAACTTGCTTCGAGCTCTCTTTCCTCTGTTCATGCGGCTGCACTTATGTTTCCAAACTTAGCTTCGCACTTTACGCTAAGTTTGCGGGGTAGTATTGAACACAAGTCCAAGTCTAAGCCCAATGTAGTGTGATGTTGTAGGCCCATATATGTTAGGATTTCCTTGCAAGATAGTTTCTATATAATTGTGTATAATGTTTTTGGGAAAATACCTTCAGAGAGTTGTCGACACAACTCTCCTCTATTTATGATATCAATCCAAAACTTTATTAAGCTTGGTGTTCTAAATTAAGTTTTTTCATCTTTATTTTCCTTGCATTCAATAAAGTTGAATGAGCTATTTCATTTTCTCTATCTTTTATCTATCTTATTAAGCTCTCCTTCACAGCATAAAAATCTTTGCTTGGATTATCCTACCAGAGTAACCCCAAATGCTAAATCTAATATTGGAAGCTCCAACGAATTTATAAAAATGAGTTAGGTACCAACGGACCCAAAATTGATATGCATAAACCGAACTAAGTTGGCCTATTTCGGAGTTTGGGTCAGAATGATTGTTTTGTTGTGGCTAAATGAGGTCTGTGATGCGTAGAGTCACAACAATGACATCCTCCTTCTTCCTCCAATCACCACCACTCCCAATTTCTCACAAACCTCTTCTCTCTCCAATTCCAAAACAATACTGTCTCTCCTCTTTTCTTCCTTTACCCACACAGCGATTTCTCACTGCTACCCACGGCTCTCGTCTACAGACTTTCTCTACCAAATCAGAACCAAACATGCAGGATTCAGGATCAGTGTCTTACCTTACGCAGCGTGAAGCCGCCGAGATTGATGAGACCTTGATGGGTCCTCTCGGCTTTACCGTTGATCAGCTCATGGTCTCCATCGTTTTCTCTTGTTTCTTTTCCTTATTATGCTTTTGTTTTCCCGCGTGATCGTGCTCGAATTTCTTATTTTCTTCCAGGAATTAGCTGGTCTTAGCGTCGCAACTTCAATTGCTGAGGTAAAAATTCGAAACTTTGTTTTGTTTTGCGAGTCTGAGGAAGATAATTAGTATAAGAAAGCTCAAAGCTTTTGTTGGAGCTAAGAACATAATGAAGTAAAATCCAAATAAGTTTTTCTTGCAGAATCAAACCTACCTAAACGGATCCCTTAAATGTAAAACCATATAACAAAGCTCAAAGCTATTCCCTTTGAAACCGATAAACCTCTTAAGCTCAAGCTTTGGATGAGTTCCACAAGTGGAGACTTCATACCCATATATGTTAGAACCTAAAACAAAACTCAACTAGGAAAGGAACAATATTTTCATTTAACAATGGTACACAGTTGATGTAATAGTGTAAGCATTACAAAGTTTATTCTTGCTATGTACATTGGTTGTGAAGTCTACAATATATTCCAGGTTTATAAACCGACAGAATATAGCCGTGTTCTCGCAATCTGTGGTCCTGGAAACAATGGTGGTGATGGTCTTGTGGCGGCAAGGCATCTTCACCACTTTGGATATAAACCGTCTATCTGTTATCCTAAACGTACAGACAAATCACTTTATACTGGACTGGTCACTCAGGTTTGTAATCAGTGCTTTGTTTAAGATTTTTTTTTACCGTTTTCCGGCTTTATACCGCATACTGAAATTGTCTGTTTCTGTAGTTGGAGTCACTTTCAATCCCTTTTGTTTCTGTCGATGATCTGCCGGAGGACTTGTCAAAGGACTTTGATGTTATCATAGATGCAATTTTCGGGTTTTCGTTTCATGGTAACTATTCGTTTGCCCACATCTTTAGAATTTTTCAAAGCATGAAATGTTCAAGAAATGAAATTCACTCTGAATAGCAGGTTTTGGAGTCAAAGTCTTGAATTCTTCAGTGATGATCCTAATTTCATTGGTCATGTTTCAACTGCTTTTTTATTTAAATGTTTTGCACATTTAGGTGCTCCAAGGCCTCCGTTTGATGACCTTATCCGGAGATTAGTGTCCTTGCAAAACTCTGAGAAAACGCTCCAAAAACACCCTGTCATTGCCTCTGTGGATATCCCTTCTGGATGGCACGTTGAAGAAGGAGACCATGAAGGTGAAGGAATTAAGCCTGATATGTTGGTATGCCTTAGACGAAATGCTCGCACTACTCTTTTCCCCGAATCATAAAAAAAAAAAATTTATTAACTGAACCTCTTAATTTGTCTTAGGTATCTTTGACTGCCCCAAAATTATGTGCGAAGAGATTTTGTGGCCCTCATCACTTTTTAGGTGGCAGATTTGTACCACCTCAAGTTGCAGAAAAATATAAGCTCGAGCTTCCTAGTTACCCTGGGACATCGATGTGTGTTAGAATTGGTAAACCTCCAAAAGTTGACATATCTGCTATGAGAGTGAACTATGTCTCTCCAGAACTGCTCGAGGACCAGGTTGAAAGTGATCCTACTTTACAGGTATGAATTCATTTATTTGTCTTTGCTTATCTGTACTATTCGCCTTCTACATTCTCAGGTATTGAATGAGCGTAAACTTATATTGCGTCCTGAAAATAAGAAATGAAGCGTCTTTGTTGCGCCCAAGTCATTTTGTTATCTGAAATAATATACTTTTTCACTTTTGCTCATTTTTTGTGGCTTTTCAATAACTCGTTCTGCTAGATTACTCACTGCTTAGTTATTGTGGTCGCTTATTAAAGATAAGGCATCCTTTTATGCTAAGCAGTTCACTCTTATTTTTGCAGTTCCGTAAGTGGTTTGATGAAGCAGTTGCTGCTGGACTTAGAGAAACAAATGCTATGGCTTTGTCTACGACGAACAAGGACAGAAAACCGTAAGTGTACTTTGATGTTTCAAGAGATGCTACTCCATGGAACGATTTGCTGATGAACATGTTCCAAAAGATTTTGTATTTCCATATCTCTTAGGTATTATCTAGCATGACTATATTCTAATGGTGGAACTTTAAATAGCTTTCGGCAATAGGATCCAGCTATGATTTATTTTAATATGTTGTTATTTGATACACAGCTTGTAATAGTAAAAATATGTCTCAGATTTCCAGTTTGATGCATGATATGAGCTTCTCACATGTTTTTTTTTTTCTTGTTCCACTCTTTTTTGAAGTAGTTGTAAGTAAATATGTTAGTGTCTCTGCATGCGCGAATCTCAATCATGGGTGATTTCAGTTAATTTTCTGAGTACATCTTAAGCTGTGTAAATAGATAGAGCATGCACAAATTTGCATTGAACACAAATTTTGCCTCTTTACTTTCTTTCTTATTATCATTTCTAACGATTGTGATTCTGCCTCAGATCATCAAGAATGGTTTTACTAAAAGGCTTTGATGAGAATGGATTTGTCTGGTTAGTACATCCTCTCCCTTCTTTTGCTGAGAATAGGAGTATGAAGATCTTTGTGTGCAACCTGATGTTTGCTTAAAATCGTAAAATACAGGTTTACTAACTATGAAAGCAAAAAGGGTATTGATTTAACAGAGAATCCTTGTGCAGCACTTCTTTTTTACTGGGAAAGTTTGAACCGGCAGGTACGTGTTTTCATCTTCCTTTACCTTATGTTCTAGCTGACCTTTGGCCATCTGCTGTAGTAGAATACTCTGTTCTTCAAAACCAGATGCTTCCACCACTGATACGCATGAATTAGTAACTTGGCTGCTGAATACCTTTTAGAAATACTAATATCCGTTATCACTGTACCATAACAGGTACGAATTGAAGGACCAGTTGAGAGAATATCTGAGGCAGAATCCGAGAATTACTATCATAGTCGTCCTAGAGGAAGCCAGATCGGAGCTATTGTTAGCAAGCAGGTGCCTCATGAATTGTTGCAGTTATCAAAATATTTTCATATGATGTTAAGAATCTGCTTTGGACCCTCATCCTTCAACTCTTTGATTCCTATCAGAGTTCTGTAGTACCTGGGAGGCATGTTCTATACGATGAGTATGAACAACTGACCAAAAAATATTCAGATGGGTGAGTTCTAAAATCTCTTAATAACTCTTCATAGAAAACTCTTTTGATTTAATGTTCTTGATTGATAACTAAGAATTACAAAGAGCCATGACTTTATTTATCTTGCTTGCAGAAGTTTGATACCAAAGCCGAAAAACTGGGGAGGATTCAGACTTAAACCAAACCTGTTTGAGTTTTGGCAGGGACAACCATCTCGTTTGCATGACAGGTGCCTCTTATCTTTTTCCTTCCGTATCATTTGTCGTAATTTGGGGGACAAATCAGGTTTCTCTCTAGTTCTAAGGACATGTTTCCAGATATATCTTGAAATTAAAGAGCATGATGACGAAAATGATCTCTTAATTAGAGCTTAGAAGCACAGAAAAGTAGCGATAGCCAATGTTCGCTAAGGTATGATTGTTGAACAATGTGTTTCATTCGCAGGCTACAGTATTCTCTGCATGACTTAAACGGGAATCCTGCCTGGAGAATTCATAGATTGGCCCCTTGAATTGTACTCACCTACTTCTTCTCTTGAAGAAGAAGGCTATTTGGGTTTCATATCAACCACTACACAGTGAGAATAAGTTTTAATAAGTATATACAGATACAAAATATGTATATATAGCCTTGTAGTGATTTTATTTCCAAAATGTACGAGAAACAAACAGATACGAGCATTCTATTTAATTTTTCTTTATGATTGTTGTAGATACAGAGAATATCATTATCATATCAAATAAGGTTTCAATTATCATTCATGGTCTTGTATTTTTAATGCTTGTTAAGCAGTTAAATTACAAATGCGAATTTAGTACGTAACATTAAGTGATTAATAACAATGATTAGAATCTTTTATATAAAAAAAAAAAGAAGAAGACGAGACTTGCATTATATCTTTAAGTGTTCCATGGTCTACGATGGCTCTCTAATTGTATCTTTGCATGGGATGTGGTCCTTTTTTCTCGCATCAATATGACTGATCCCTATTTGACTTGCTAATTCTCATTAATTACTCATTTGAGTATATTACATTGTTCGAATGCTAATTGTCCTTGCATCATTGCATGTTTTACTTATTTACTATCATTTCGTTACATTGTGGTAATTGGTAAAGTATATCAAAGCCCAAAAGCAAACAAATTAAAACAATCTATGATTGTTTTGGAAGCATAAAAAGATGAATCCGAAGAACGATTACCAGAAAGTTAATTCATCGTCATATAATTCCATCATGGAGATGTGAGAGCAAAATGTAAGAATTAGTTGGGGTCACATGTATAATCAGTGTGTTAGGGTCATTATTTAAAGTAGTTAAAACTTATGTGGTTATTTTGGTATTAAAGAAAAAACTAAGGAGCATAAATGTTATAAAAAATTAATGTGAAAATACATTCAGTAATTTGTAATTTGATGACAGGCCGAATTAGAAATTATTTCTATATATAAATAGAGAGGTTATGGTCCTTGCAGCAACCCTAAAGAGAAATACAAAAACTTTCTGCATCCCATCAACAGAGACCTCCAGCTATTCAGAGTTTGTGTCGAAGAGCCATTTACAAAAATTCAGAGCATAAACCATGGATCCAAAAGGTACGCTTCCACTTCTGTTCTTATTAATCAGAGACTGACATGCTATAGTGGTTTATAAGGAATTAAATATTTTCAATTAGTATCAGAGCCATCATGTTTAGTTTCTGTTTGATATTCAGGTTATATTTAAGAAATAAATTTGGATTTATTTTTTGTGAAAAAATTTAGATTGTTGAATCTAATTTTTCTCTAAAGTTTATGTCTTGATAAATATTCTGGGATCTGTGGTTTATTTGTAAAACTTAGATTTGGATTAAACATGTTTAGATCTGGTTTTAGGTAATTGTTCTAGAGAAAAACATGTTTAAAATTCTTGCTAATTTGGATTTATTGCTCATATGGTTATGTTTTTCTGGAAATTTTTTTTTTTAATTCGGAATGTTTTGGGAGCAATTATCGAATTTAGTCTTTGAAATTTTTTAAAGTTTCATGCTCATAAAGTTTTTTCGAAACTCTGGATAATTTTTCAAAAATTTTGAACAAAATTTTAGATCTGGTTTTAGCCTTAATGGCTGTATTTTTAGAGTTTATTTTAAGATTGACGATATGAGGATAAGAGCATTTTTGTAAATTTAAAAAAAATTGTAAATGAAAACGCATCACAAGGGATTCAAAACCAAATTGCGCTACATGGACAGCCCTTTTCAAGTTGGTCTTCAACCACTCTGCCGTGAAAATATTTTTTGCATATTGTGTATCCAGACTTTTATTTATATGTCTGCACAAGAATATAATTAAGTTTCTAATCAATATAATTTTGATTGTGCAAGTTTAATTGCCAAAGTAACCTCTATTGTAGATATTTTTTCATGGATAATATTAAATGTTATATTGTGTATGTAATTCATGCAATTATTAAATCGACTCAAACTTAGGTTTGTATTTGGCCGAATTACATACATACCTGTGATGATAAACATGTGACGATTATTTAGAATAACCATGTGAATGATAAATCGATCCAAAGATACGTTTATTATTTATCATGCATTATTGTCAGTGTTTGATTGTTGCAATAAGAGTATCGCTAGCAGTTAATATTACTGTCCAAAGAATTGATATTAATGTTGCACTTGGTATCTTGAGATGAGTTGTACAATCGTTTATTTATTATTGATTAATTCGGTCTAATAGTAAATTACTAATAAAGATTGTTCAATTTTGCAGCGAATTTTACTGCAGTATCTGCAAACCTAAGTTCAATTCTAACACTTACTGATTCCAACTACAAGGAATGAAACAGTAAGGTTAAGATTGTTCTTGGGTGTACGGATCTTGACCTTGCGTTAAGGATGGAAAAACCTACTTCTCCTACAGATACCAGCACTGCTGAGTATAAGGCAGTTCATAAGAAGTGGAAACGTTCTAATCGCATTGGTTTAATGATCATTTTGGACACCATTCCAGAAACCTTTAGAGGTAATGAGGAGATCTTGGATCTCAAACAGTTCATTTGAGATGGACTTGCGTTTTGCGAGTAACGATAAAGCAGAATAAGTTCGTTTCTCTATCACTTTAGTACCATAAGGTATCACAGAAAAGGAAACATAAGGGATTACATTTTGGAAATGTCCAGCAGTGTTTCAAAACTCAAGACTGTAAAGATTGAGCTTCCAGAAGAAGTGCTCATACATTTTGTCTTGAACTCCCTTCCTCCTCAATTCAATCAATTGAAATCCAGTTACAATACACGTAAGGAGAAATGGGCTCTTAATGAGCTTATTTCGTATTGTGTGAATGAGTAGGATAGGATAAAACAAGAACGGTCTGAGAGTGCTCATATGGATAACACCTCTAAGGGTCAGGGCAAAAGAAAGAAAATTGAAGTTGTTAAGAATGATGCTGCTAAAGGTACATCTCAAAAGAAGCAGACTAAGGTTGAAGATACCTGCTTTTGTAAGAAAACTGGACATATGAAGAAGGACTGCCAAAAGTACCATGATTGGCGTGGTAAGAAAGGTATGTTCCTTGCTATGGTATGTTCTGAAGTGAACATAATTGAAGTACCCATAAACACTTGGTGGTTAGACTCAGGTGCAACTACTAACATCAGTGATTCATTACAGGGTTGCCTGAGCTACCGAAAACCAACTGAAGCTGAAAGACACATTCATGTGGCTGATGGTTTTGCGGTGGATGTGGAGACAATTGGGCATTTTAGATTATTCTTCAGTACTGGTCATTTTTTGAATTTGAAAGATACTTTTGTTTTACCGTCTTTCAGACGGAATTTGGTTTTTGGTTCTTATTTAGACATATCTGGTTATTCTTATCTAACTGAGCATGGAAAAGTTACTTTGTCTTTAAATTCAATTTTAATTGGAACTTGTACACTTATGAAAAATCACAGTCTTTATATGCTTGACACTGTAACTTCTCATGATGAAAGTTTAAGTGTTGAATCAAGGGGTACTAAACGAAAGTTTGAAAATGCAAGTTCAGGAACTCTATGGCACAAATGCTTAGGTCACATTTCTAGAAATAGAATTGAGCGACTTGTGCCAGATGTTATATTGAGTTCTATTGACTTCACAAATTGTGATGTCTGTTTGGATTGCATTAAAGGAAAACAGACTAAACAGAAGAAACTAGGTGCATATAGAGCTACGGAAGTCCTTGAGTTGATACATACAGATATTTGTGGACCATTCCCTACGGCTTCTTGGAACGGTCAACAATACTTCCACTACAAGAAAACACACTCTTTGCAACCACGAAAATCGTCCTTAAATGGTCGCTAATACCCTATTTACGACTATGTAAGAACTATTTGAAATAGTCGCTAATATTTCGTCGCAAAATTGAACGGTCGCAAATTAGACGCAAATTACCAACTAACTTATGACATAGAAATGTAGTCGTATATTAGCGACAAAAGTGCCACGACACGTATTGGTTGTTTATTAATGACTAAATTGTGACATAATATTTAGCGAGTAATGTTTGACTCTTTCCCGATGTCGTATAATTGCGACCCTTATGTAGTCGTTGATTTGCGACTATTTAATGACGAAACCTTTGTGACTGAATTCTCATCGAGTCGCAAATTGGTTCTGAGTTTGCGACTGATTTAGGACAATTGTTATACCTTTTTGGTCACAAATGCGTCGCTTGTTACCAACTGTTGGAGGTGAAAACCGCACCCCGGTTTTCTCCGGTACAAACTGAGATCGGCGAACCGTAAGCCCGGTTTACGAAGGGATGTACCGGGAGAAGATGGGCCGAGCGAAGATGGGCCGAAGATAGCCCATTAGGCCGAGGTCGGTGGGAAACCTCTCAAAGGAATAGAAGGTTTCCTTGAGCTCGGCCGAAATAGGAAAGTTTCCTGAGGGAAAAAGGAAACTTTGGAGAGAAAAGGAAAGGAACCGAGAGAAAAGGAAATTCCTCTCGGTCCCATATCGTCTAAGGCGTGCTTGAAGACCGACTTATGAGATATATATAAAGGGAGACGAATCGACATCAGAGAACACAAGTTATTCCCAAGAAGACTTAAAGACTGAGAACTCGTTACGACAGCTTCTTAGTCGCATTAAGTCTTAGTTCGTTATTGCCTATTGAAATAACCGAACTCAGTTGTATTTCACTTGATTCAATCTAATAAAACCGAGCTTCCGATCTAAATTACTGTTTTGTCCCTTGTCGATATTCACATATCAACAATTGGCGCGCCAGGAAGGGGGCTTTAAACAGATATCTCAGATTTTTGATCGGACTTCGGAAAGATTGAATCAGCGATGGCAGACCAATCCAACGTTCACGAAGAAGAAAACCCTCTCAGGGGAAATAACATCAACGCCCAAACAGAGCAAACGGGAGGAACTCCTGGAGAAAACACCGGAACTGCCGCCGAGCAAACTCCCGCAGCCGTAACCGACCTGTTACTCCAAATGTTCACTGCTCAGTTCGAAGCCATCAACAAAAGGAGCGAGGAACGTTTCAGTCAGATGGCGGCACAGATCGCCGAACTCAGTCAGACACGAACTCCTCTCCGAGTTCGGAACATCATTGACGATCTCAATGCCGACGGAGATCCAACCAGAACTATGAGGTCTGCCGCGGTCGGGTCAGCAAACCCACCAGCCCCGGATTCAAGCCGAGACGCCGAGTTTGAAGCGATGAAAGCACAGCTTCGCGATATCACCTCAAAAATACATCAAGCCACAAGCGCGGCCCCGGAGATCGAGCGCGTCATTCAGGAAACACAGAAGACTCCTTTCACATCGCGCATCGCAGGGACGCCGGTCAAGCACATGGAGAAACTGAAGATGAAAATCTACGAGGGCAACTCTGACCCTCGACACTTCCTGACATCGTTCGGCATCTGCATGAACCGATACCAGTTTAAGTCTGCCGAAGAAAGAGACGCGGTTCAGTGCCAACTATTTGTGGAAAGTCTGGGAGGAGTAGCTCTCGACTGGTTCTCACGGCTCGAAGCCAATTCAATCGACAGCTACAAAGAGTTAACGACAGCCTTCGTCAAGCACTTCTCCATGTTCATTGGACAGAATACCAAGAACTCCGAGCTCTGGCAAGTAGCTCAAGGACCAAGCGAGAGCCTTCGCGACTTCATCCAGCGCTTCAAGGCAATCGTCGCCAACTGCACGATTAGCGACGAAGCCGCTCTCTTATGCCTTCAGAAAGGAGCTCGGATAAAGACCAGTTTCCGAAGCGCGATTACGCATAACCCACCGCAGACGTTAGAAGATGCGATACACCGAGCTAATACTTACATTGCTGAAGAAGAAGAAGAAGCTGCGTACGAGCAAAGTCACTCAACAAAACAACCCGAACGTCTGAAACCCGCGACTAACGAGCCGCAGTCGGGATACGGTCGAGGATACGAGAACCGCAAGAAACTCTATGCTAACGCAATCCAACAACCAAGCAAGCAGTGAAATAATAAATGGGTCCGCGGTGAAGAAGACCAAGACGAGTCGTTATTCTGCGAATTCCATAACCGTAGGGGCCACAGCACCGAAGAATGCAGGCATTTGCGAGAATATCTACTCGGCCTGTATCGCAAGGAGCTGATCTCGGTCGACGAACTCCGACGCTCAAATACGCCTAAGAGCGGTGGGCAACTCTCGATGCCTCGACCGAACAACGAACATCTCGCCAAAGATCCACCAACTCCACCGGCTTTACCGACACTACCACCACCGCCACCGAATCCGCCTGCTTTGCCCGAGCAACAGAAACGGAATCGCGATGACCGAGCTCCGGAGAATCATGCTCCTAAGGCGCGAAAACGTGTCAACATGATAATGGGGGCCATCGAAGCTTGCAGTTATTCCGTTCGAGCCATCAAGGAATACAGCACACAAGCCGCTAGCACACCGAAAACCCCGCAGGATCCGCCGAAGGGAACGCCCTTGGTCTTTACCGAGGCTGACACGATCGGAATTCACAAGCCGCATAATGACGCTCTCGTTGTCGATCTACTCCTCAACGACGTCGAAGTTAGCCGCATTCTGATCGATACTGGCAGTTCGGTCAACGTTATCTTCAAGGAAGCACTTGACCAGCTCGAGTTGGCGTCAGATAGGATTGATCCGTTCATCGAGCCACTTACCGGATTTGATGGAGAACGTTGTATGACGACCGGCACTGTCAAAATCCCAATCTACGTCGGCGGAATCGCAAAGATGATCCAGTTCCTTATCCTCGACAAACCGGCGATCTACAACGCTATTCTCGGTACGCCATGGCTGCACGCAATGAAAGCGGTCGCTTCGACGTACCATCAATGCTTGAAGTTCCCGACCCCCGACGGTGTGTACACACTCCGAGGAGACCATGCCGTTGCTCGATCGTGCTACATAAACGAGTGTAGACTCCACTCGGCCAACCAAGCTTGCGTTATTAGTTCGTTCGGACCAACTGACAAGCTCATCGTCCAAAAGACAAAGCCTAAGCAAGAATCAATCGTTCAAGTTAGCATTGACAAACTCAGGCCAGAGCGTCAAGTTGGAATTGGCGCCGAGCTCGACCCAGTCATCCGTGAACCACTCATTCGTTTCCTGAAACAGCATACCTCAACCTTCGCTTGGTCGGTAGAAGACATGCCCGGGATTGACCCGCATATCGCGTGCCACGAGCTCAATATCGATCCGACGTACAAGCCTATCAAACAGAAATGCCGAAAACTTGGGCCAGAGAAAGCGCAAGCCGTGAATGACGAGGTCGAGCGCTTACTCAAAGCTGGATCTATCACCGAAGTTAAGTATCCAGATTGGTTGGCAAACCCTGTGGTCGTGAAAAAGAAGAATGGTAAATGGAGAATTTGCGTCGACTTCACCGACCTCAATAAAGCGTGTCCGAAAGATAGCTTTCCGTTACCTCATATCGATCGCCTTGTGGAAGCAACTGCCGGAAACGAACTACTCTCATTCATGGATGCGTTCTCCGGATACAATCAGATTCTCATGCATCCGCAGGACCGAGAGAAGACATCCTTCATCACAGACCGTGGCATCTATTGCTACAAGGTCATGCCATTCGGCCTGAAGAATGCTGGAGCAACGTACCAACGACTGGTAAACCGGATGTTCGCGAGCCAGCTCGGACGAACTATGGAAGTCTACATCGATGATATGCTCGTAAAGTCACTCATCGCTTCCGAGCACGTCGGCCATCTTCGCACATGCTTTGATATCTTGAATCAATATGGTATGAAGCTTAATCCAACTAAGTGTACACGTTCGGCGTAACATCTGGAGAATTCCTCGGATATATCGTCACACGGCGAGGCATTGAAGCTAATCCGAAGCAGATCGCCGCTATTCTTGAGCTCCCCTCGCCGACAACCAAACGCAAAGTTCAGCGACTTACCGGACGTATTGCGGCGCTTAACAGATTCATATCTAGATCAACGGACAAGTGCTTGCCCTTTTACCAACTTCTCCGCGGTAACAAGCACCTCGAATGGAACGAGAAGTGTGAAGAAGCCTTCGCCAAGCTAAAGGAATATCTGTCCACTCCGCCAGTTCTGTCCAAACCAGAAACCGCCGAGACACTTTATCTTTACATCGCGATTTCGGAGTTCGCAGTTAGCAGCGTTCTTGTTCGAGAAGACCGCGGAGAACAAAAACCGATTTTCTACACGAGCAAGTCCCTCGACAGATCGGAGTATCGTTATCCGACTTTGGAGAAGTTCGCCTTCGCCGTGGTTATTTCTGCACGGAAACTACGCCCGTACTTCCAGTCTCACGCAATCGTGGTCTTGACCGATCACCCTCTTCGCACTTTCCTTCACAGCCCAAGTCAGTCCGGACGACTCGCTAAGTGGGTTATTGAACTTAGTGAATATGACATCGAATACCGGAACAGAACGGCAACGAAGTCTCGGGTCCTGGCCGATTTCTTGGTCGAACTCCCACCGGAGCTTGTCGAAGATAATCCGGTCGTACAACCTTGGATTCTTCACGCCGATGGTTCATCATCCCATAAAGGATCCGGAGTTGGAATACGTCTCAAGTCACCCGAAGGAGAAGTAATCGAGCAGTCATTTCGGCTCGGCTTCCCAGCATCCAACAACGACGCCGAGTACGAAGCATTGATTGCCGGACTACGACTCGCTAAAGGTATCGGCGCCGAGCACGTACACTCCTATTGTGATTCTCAACTCGTAGCCAACCAGTTTCACGGCGAATACGAGGCCAAGAACAACCGCATGGACGCATATCTCAAAGTTCTTAAGGATATTGCTTCAGAGTTCTCCACCTTCGAGCTTACAAAGATACCCCGAGACGAGAATGCAACCGCCGACGCCTTAGCCGCACTCGCGACTAATTCCGATCCTGATCTTCGGCGAACTATCCCGATTGCAGCAATCGAGCGACCAAGTATCGAGCACGATCCGAACTGCAATATCATTACAAGACGGCGTGACTACGAAGCCCAGCCAAACCGTGCTCCACCCCTCACCCGAAAGACGAAACCTAAAGAGGTCAACCCCGATCGCGACAACGATACGGACGAGCTTAACGATAACGAGCCTGAATCCGAGGACGAGTCCGAAGGCCAGCACGTCCCCATTAATATTGAAGCCCAAGGAGAAGACGAACCCGAGGATTGGTCCTTAGAAATCGTGGGATACATCGGAGATGGAACCGTTCCCGCAGATAAATGGGCAGCTCGGCGCCTTAAGGCTCGCGCAGCCCGGTATGTGGTCATTAAAGGTACTCTTCTCAGACGGGACGCTTCTGGTGTACTTTTGACTTGTGTTCACGGCAACGACATCGCGGAAGTAATGCAAAAGATTCACGAAGGAGAAGGAGGAAATCATTCCGGAGCTCGGTCCTTGGCATTTAAGATCAAGAAAGCCGGCTATTACTGGCCTACTATGCTCTCTGATTGCGAGAAGTACATGGCACGTTGCGAGAAGTGCCAACGTCATGGTCCGATGATAAATCTTCCTACCGAGCTCCTGATGACCTCGACCGCACCATATCCTTTCATGCGCTGGGCAATGGACATCATCGGTCCTTTTCGCCGATCTACGACCCAGAAGCAGTACGTCCTCGTCGTCACAGATTACTTCACTAAATGGGTTGAAGCCGAAGCATACCCCGAGATCCATGGAATCGACGTCAAGAAGTTCGTCTAGAAGTTCATCATCTGTCGACACGGAGTTCCGTACGAGATCGTTACGGACAATGGAACCCAGTTCACTTCGATAATTTTCCAAGATTTTTGCGCCAAGTGGAAAATCCGACTAAGTTTCTCTATCCCGCGTTATCCGCAAGGCAACGGACAAGCCGAAGCCACGAACAAGACCATCATTGACGGACTGAAGAAACGACTCGATATCGCTAAGGGAACGTGGGCAGACGAACTCGACGGCGTCCTGTGGTCTCACCGAACGACACCGCGACGTTCAACCGGTCAGTCACCTTTCTTCCTTGTGTATGGCGCAGAAGCTATGTGTCCAGCCGAACTTAACGTCCCAAGCATTCGCCGAACTATGCTTACCCAGCAACCCGAGGCGAACGACAATATGATGATCGACGCACTTGACTTAGTCGAAGAACATCGCGAACGAGCACTACTCCGGATACAGAATTACCAACAACTTGCAGCTCGTTACTACAATAAAAAAGTTAAGGGCCGTCACTTCGAAGACGGCGACCTCGTACTTCGTAAAGTCTATCAAAACACCGAAGAGAAGAACGCAGGAAAACTTGGCGCGAACTGGGAAGGACCATATCAGATTATGAAGGTCGTTAAGCCCGACGTTTATCAACTCATGAAGTTAGACGGAACTCCGATCCCGCGATCTTGGAACTCGATGCATCTCAAACGATACTACTACTAGTTCGTTTCGAAGCGCCAAAACAAAAAAAAAAAAAAAAAAAAAAAAGCCTCCGAACTACTTAGTCGGGGCGAAAACCCCTTTTGTACTTAGAACTACGAATGGCTTGATCCCTTTAAAGGGTACGTAGGCAGCTCGTTACCGAGTCCAGCTATAACATCAATAAAATTTTATTGTCAAGATATGACAAAGTGTTAGTTCGAAATCACAAGGGACCGAACTCCTTGTCTTTACATCGACTTCCTGGCCAGTTGTTCGATAGCATTCCACATGAATGCAAACTTAAAAGCCGAGATCCGTCTCGCGAGCACCCACATGGTGTCGTGGTTAAGCCACATATCAAAAGCCGGGCCCAGTCCCGCAGTTAAATTTCTAAGTCACCAAGAATAATAAGCCGAGCACATCTCGCGCACTTAGGTTCGACTTAGAAAAACCTTGAATTCGTTTCGTGCGTTTACAAGAGTTCGAATCTAATTCACTCTTCCAGTACGAAACGATTCACTTGGGTTCCCCAGGCCGAGCTCATACGCTCGCACGATAAGCCGAACTCCTCAGATTCGCACCGTAAGCCGAGTTCACAACACTCGCAAAACGTAAGCCGAATTATCGCAATTCGCTATCAAAAGATAATAATCACGTTCGAATATCTACTATATACCGATCTAATACTTAAGCATTAATCGCAAATCTTAACGACGACATAAAGTTAAATCGAAGGTTAGATGCCGATCTACTACTTGAAAGATTTTTCTAACTTTTAAAGACAAGGAAGGAAGGAAAAACGAACGCATAAAATAAAAAGCCCCGAGAGGCAAATAGAGTCAGAACCCACCAAGGGCTCGGAATTAGAATTACAAAAAGAAACCCATGCAAGGGCAGTTAAGTTCGAAGAGTAAAAGAAAAATAGGAAGAGATTAGATGGTCTTCGAGGCAGCAGCGTTGAGTATGTCCTCGTTTGAGCCGAACTGCTCACCCCTCGCAGGATCTTGCGCGCTCTGGGTCACATTTGCGACCGGAATGTCATCTTCCTCTACGAACGGAGACATCTTCTTGTCCTCCTCAGTGAGCACGCAAGCATCGATCGCCTTGAAGTCCTCCAGCGCCTTGGCATGCCTTGCTTCAATATCCGCAACCATTTCTGGCGGGACCTCGTACAGACCCTTCCTCCGCAACTGCTTGATGAAACCGAGGACCCCGGTGAGCTGGTTGTAGACCAGGTACGGCTTCCGAGCCCTATCAGCATCGTCCAAACTCCGAATAACTTTCTCAAGGCGTTCGCAAGCCGTTGCGTGAACGCTCCTAGCTCGATTCTTCCAGTGCACCACCATGTCTTGTAGCCGTCCCTTGTCCTTCTCGAACTCTTTAGAGAGTAAAATCTGGGCCTCGGTGAGCTCGTCTTTCACCGCCTTCAGCTCTGCACTCTCCTTTTTCAGCAAGTCAACTTGAGAGTGCAGAGTTTCGTTGATTTGGAGCTCAGTGGCGAGACGCTCCTCTGCTTTGGCTATCCTTTCTTCGAGCTCGGAGACCCTTACTTGTTCGTCGAACATGGCTACTTCATATGCAGCGACCAAGTTATTGGTCTGACTGGCGAGCTGCACAGTTGAAACAGGAATTAGAACTCATACTTGGAAGAATATCTAAGTCTGTAAGGGGTAAGTAAAATTACCACAGCAGTCGTGTAAGCGATTCCCTTGTACATGTTGGGAAACCAGAGCTCGGGAACCAACGGAAGACTAGGTACCTCCGAGGAGATCTTATGATAGAGCTCGGCGCAGGCATCTACGTTCTCCTCAAAAGGAGTCTCCTCGTCGTAGTCAAAACAAACTCGGACTCTCTTAGCCGGCCCGTGCTCTTGAGAGCCCTCGACATGGTCCCTGGTTTGCCTTTTTCGGGAGTGTGAAGCTTCAGCTCGATCTTGCGAGAGCGCGAGGCCCGACGCTACAGCTGCCGGTGGATCGAGCTCGGCGAGAGTATCTTGCACCCGAGAAGAGTCCTCTGCTTTCTTACTCTTCTTCGAAGACTTCTTCTTCTTCGTCTTCCTCTGATCAACCTGATCAGGTGAGCCCGCAGCAGGTGGCAACTCTTCTGGCTGCACTTCGTTCTGTTCAGCAGCAAGGACTGGGGTCGGCTCAGCCACCTCCGTTTCCTCTTCATCAAAGAGAGTTGGGATTTCGTCAATGGAAAGCATCCTGGCAGCTCGGGAGCGTTGAGTTCGCGTCTTCAGTGATTGGCGTTTGGGAGCGGTTCGAGGCTTGCTAGCTCGAGTTCTCGGCTTGCGTGGTTTTGGTTCTCGAACGGAGCCTGAAATGAAAATGTGTTTAAGGAGGAGTTCGGAGTAAATTCAGAATAAAGTGAGTAAAGATAGAATTCGATGAACATACCCGCTTTCTTAGCTCGGCGTTGTAGGATTTCTTCCCAAACCTCCGGCCAACGACGTTTACCGGCTTCGCTGAATGCTTCTTCGAACTCAGAGGTGAGTCCGGAGTTGAGAAGGAGACTCGGAAGATGACGACCTACAAAAATAAGACGAAGTCGAGTTAGCAAGCAGTAAAAGTCAAAAGTTATCTAAGTGTGAAATCATCTAATCTACCAATCGGAATCTTCCAATTCGACTGAATTGCGATGTCAGAATTGCTGACGGTGAGATCGTTCATTTCAATATAGAAGTACTGGGACTCCCAATCGTTGAATTTACTGGGCTTAGGTCCCATAACTAAATTCTTCTTCGGCTTGGCATTGGCGGCGAAGAACCACTCCTTGGACTTATGGATATTGACCGAGAAGAGGTCTTCGAAAATTCGACTCGATGGTACTTCGCCAAGCTCGTCGCATAAGGAAACGAACCCAACGTAGTTCGTTATTGAGGCTGGCATCACCTGTGTGAGAGCTACGCCGCGCCGATTGCAGTATCCCAGTAGGCGAGAGGGAATGGGGAAAGAAAGCCCGCACTGAGTGAAGTACGTCAGGTAGACGCAAAGGAAGCCTTCGGGAGCGTCCCACGGCCGATCTCTAGCCTCCGGAATGATGAAAATAATCTTGTCCGCAAGCCCGTTTGCCTCGAGCACGGCTCGAACGGCACCAGGAGAAAGGGAACAAGAGGGCACGTTGTTGGGACGAACTACTTTCCGCCTCGGAAGTGGTGGCGAAGCATGAATAACCGCCTCAATGTTGTCGACTTCAGTATCAACAACGTTCTCCCCCTGAAATTCTTCCTCGATCTCCTCGATCTCGGGGGTGTTAGCATCAACGTTCGGTCCAGCCCGAGCCTCCGTTTCACGAGCCTCTGCAGTCAGATCTTCGGTAGCTTCAATTCTGACTCTAGCACGGCTGCTGCTAGCTTCTGCAGATCTAGAGTTCTTACGAACTAATTGGGGAAGATTGCTTTCGTCCCGTGATGAACTTGACTGCTGAGGGTTTGAAGAAGAGGAGCTCGGCTCCGAGGACTCACGGTGGTCTTCCGGAAGAATTTTATTCGAGGAAGAATTAATCGAAGAGCTGGAAGACATTTTAGGGTTTGGGAAAGAAGATTTGAAGGAAATAAAGAACAGTTTGAAGATCAACCGGAAAGTTTGAAGGTTGATCGGAAAAATCAAGAGTTCGCGGCGGCGAGAGTTGAAGAAACGAGAGAAAACGAAGAACAAAAACTAGAGAGAGAAATGAAATCTAGAGAGAAGGGAGAGCGGCGTACCTTATATATGCTTGAGGCGAGAATAATGAATGCGAGAAGAAGAGTTGCCCTTTATACACAGTGGGAATCGTGGGTTCCTCGATTTTCGCGAAAAATCCCGTAATTCACGCGCCTCATTGAAGATAGGCGCGAAACGTCCGGAAATGCGAAACGACAACAGTTACCGAGCTCAGTTTGTGATCCAATAACCGAAGAATTGAGTTCAACTGAAAGTCACCTCCTTTCACCGAACTGAGGGGGGGCTAACTGTTGGAGGTGAAAACCGCACCCCAGTTTTCTCCGGTACAAACTGAGATCGGCGAACCGTAAGCCCGGTTTACGAAAGGATGTACCGGGAGAAGATGGGCCGAGCGAAGATGGGCCGAAGATAGCCCATTAGGCCGAGGTCGGTGGGAAACCTCTCAAAGGAATAGAAGGTTTCCTTGAGCTCGGCCGAAATAGAAAAGTTTCCTGAGGGAAAAAGGAAACTTTAGAGAGAAAAGGAAAGGAACCGAGAGAAAAGGAAATTCCTCTCGGTCCCATATCGTCTAAGGCGTGCTTGAAGACCGACTTATGAGATATATATAAAGGGAGACGAATCAACATCAGAGAACACAAGTTATTCCCAAGAAGACTTAAAGACTGAGAACTCGTTACGACAGCTTCTTAGTCGCATTAAGTCTTAGTTCGTTATTGCCTATTGAAATAACCGAACTCAGTTGTATTTCACTTGATTCAATCTAATAAAACCGAGCTTCCGATCTAAATTATTGTTTTGTCCCTTGTCGATATTCACATATCAACACCAACTAATTTTATTATGGTCATTATCTAAAACAGTAATTAAATCTAAATTTAACTATAAAAAACTTAAAATTAAAATATTAATACGAATATGAACTAAAAACTTGATAGTTTAGTCAACAAAAAAGAGTTTCAAATCCCAAAATATGTTACATAGATTTCTTAGTCCAAAAAAAAAGACATAAAGAAAAGAACATAAAACTTAAAAGTTTAATTCATAGAGTTAAGAGTTATGAGTTTGGTGCGGGTGAGGAATCGTTTGAGAGAGCAGCTGGTGTAGGGGCTGGTTCATTGGTTTGTGCAGTGGCTGGTGCAGGGGCTGTTGCATTGGCTGGTGCGGCTGTTGATGTTGTGGCTGCTGATGTTGTGGCTGCTGTGGTGTTTGCTTGAGAAGCCAAAAACGATGGAAAGACGGGATCCTTGTTTTTGACATATGAGAAGAGTAACTCCAAGTGTTTCTGAGCAGCTTGTGCCTCCTCATCACGTCGAGAATATTCAGCTTCTTGCTCGGCGATCTTTTGACGAGCGGCTTTGAGTTGTTCTTGCATCTCTAGGATTGATGAGGAAGAGCTTGCATAACAAGTATCTTTCCTTTTTTTTCCCGGTGACTGTCTCTCCAATTGCGCCAAGTCCATAAGGGTGTCCCTTGTCATCTATTTCAGTAGAGTAAAACAACAACAAAAACAACAACTGATCTCAGCAAAAATCTTAGGATTAACCAACAAGAATCAAGCAACTCATCCCTGAACCAACAAGAACCAAGCGACTCATGTATGAACCAACAAGAACCAAGCGGCAACAAGAACCAACAAGAAGCAAAAAACAGAAGAGCCAAAACAAGAGAAGATGATTACCAAAACACAAAACGAAACCAACATGAACCAGAACACTATCAAATCCAACATGAACACTATCAAAACACAAAACAAAACCAATACGAACCAGAACAAAACACAAGCGGCAACTAATCCACGACATAGACATTATCAAGTCCAAAGAAACTAAAGAAGAGAAGATGATTATCAAAACCAGATAATCATTATCAAGTATATTTCTGTTCGAAAGAAACATATTAAAATGCTAAGAAGAAGTAAAAAATCGAAATTACCTTAAGGAAGATATCATCCTTTTCTTCAACTGTTAGGGTTCGATGTGTGGACTGTTGGGAAGAATTCTCTGAAGTGTCTAGACCGTCCACATCCAGTTGACTCACAAGCTCTTCTAAGTTCTTCTCATACGCCTGAGCTACCTTCTCAGCCTTTCGATCAACGAATGTGCCATCTGCTCTGGTATATGTTTTCATAAACACTTCACCAAGAGACACGAGACGCCCTAATGCTTCCTCCTATGATGATAGAAACAAAGACAAATCATCGGACAAAAAGAAAACCCAAAAACTCAAAATCCAAAAACTCATAACCCTTTACCATTTCCTGTTGCACTGTCAAGTGGGATTTCTGGCCGAAGACATGTTTGTGGACTCCAAGTCTACCAAGGTTTGAGTTACGGCACTGTGATGCAGTGGAGCTCCTCTCAATTGCATCGGGAGTGTCCCAATGAGCCCACATTTCAGTCCAAAGCTCTGAGGCAATCCAAGATGGTCTCTCACCACAGTTTTTAACTTGAGAGACAATATCTTTCATCCTTTTTTTGGCCCTCTTCAAGAATCCTTGTTTGACCAAGTCGGTCAGCCCGAGATCCCAATTTTACTTCCGCTACACATTAAAACAAGAGAATCAATATGTATTAGTGAGATAAAACAATGAAAATAATATGTATTAGTGAGATAACACAATCAAACAATGAAAACAGAAGCAAGACATTACCGCAAAAGTTCTGAAATTCTCTCTTGAACAGCTATAGGCGTTCTCTTCCAACTGTAGTAAGGACCATCACACTTCTTTCGGAAGATGCCAGAAATGACCCGAGAAAATTTGCCTTTGTCCCGGTTAAACCTTGACATGAAAATCAAAAGAGTCAGAGACAAAAATACTAAACCAAATACAAACACAATAACACAAAAATACTAAGTCAAATATACCAAGGCAAAGACCAAAAACGAATTGGGATTTGTGTGTAGAACACTAACCATGTGGTTTGGACATCGGGTAGAGGATGTGGACTCAAGATGGGTAGATGTTCTCGGCCAGGAAGAGCCAACAAATCTTCAAGCATCTGTTGGTAGTCCGGTTCTTGATTAACAGCGAGAGGAGACGGTTGATGTTGTTGATTGTTTTGAGGAGGTTGCTGCTCTTGATTCTGAAGAGGCGGTTGGTATTGGAGAACATAAACAGGCGGAGGCGGTGGCTGTTGAAGTTGGAGAACATAAACCGGGAGCGGTTTGATAACACCGTATTTTGACCACTTTTATGGATCGTTTTGAAATGCTTTTTCTATGTTTTTAATTGCTTTTAAGTACTTTTATTACGTTTTTATAGTATTTGTAGTTCCAAAACTCTTTTCAGGTAACTTGGGGAAAAGCTTAACAAAATGGATAGAAAACCAGATTTTAGCTCAGAGTCAAACTGTCAGAAGTTCACCCCTGATTGAAGGCCTTCTCACCGTCTGATCCAGCTCAAATTTGGAGACCTTAAAGATGGAAGTATCAGCTTTCCAGTGCACTTTACAGCTTAGCAATCCAACAATTCAATCAAAAGATACGCGAAGAGCAAGATGTCCCGTAAACCAGCTGGCAAGCACTTCCACACGCGGCCAACAAGCATTTTCCCGCGGTCAGGAGCATCCCGACCGCGGCAAACCACTCATCCACCGCGGTCACACTTGTCCCGACCACGGCCTTCAACCTCCGAGCCCAAAAAGTCCATTTCTGAAGCCCACATTTGGAGAAACCCTAAGTGACGTCCAGAGAGGTCTTGAGCACTATAAATACATGTCTTAGGAGCCCTAGAAAGGGGGTAACCGAATATCATCTATCATTACTTCATACTTTTATTGTTTTTGCTTTAGCTTTTAGGGACAGAGAGATTTGTTCTCTTGAACCCTTGTTCTTTCTTTTTCAATTTCGATTTTCTATTCTACTTCTTAATACTATGTCTTTGATTTCGTTTATTTTGTCTGAGTAGTTTTATTGTTGGGATTAAGGGATTTTCGATGGGGATTTATATGTTCGATGAGGATTCCATGAGCTTTTGAGCCGAATCTTAGAACTTTTTCTTCTGAATTCGTTTTTACTGCATGAGAGTAGCGTCATGAACTACAATCTGATCCAGATGCTTGGTGACACGAAAGTGTTCATCAGGTATCAGATCTAGTTTGGGAGAGCAAAACAAACATAGGAGTGGAAACCTACCTATGGGCGATTTGTGAATTAGGACGAGTCTTAAACATAATGCATCTCTTCTCTTCCAGGGCCAGAGTGGAAACCTACTGGTCAGGGTTGAGAGAGATAGTTGTCTATGATCACGACAGTGGCGTATTCATACGTCCGTGACTCCAGTTCGAAAAGTTTAAGCTAAGATCTTACAAAATTTCCTCTCTAGCAATGTTTTGAATCGTTCGTACCCCTGAGAAAACTTCCGTGAACCCCAACGCTTTCTTCCTTATTGATTTACACCGATTTTCTTTAAAGCTTTAGTTCAATATTGTCTTTCCTTTTTAGTTCATTTTCATTTAAGCATTAGAATATCCGTTTTTATCATTTTTAGTCATTTTCATTAAGTTTAGTTATTACGTCATTTAATTTCCGTATTCTCTTTTAATATTTCGTTTTTACATTTTAAACACACTACCAAACCCCCACTAAACCGTTTTTGTTCTAGGCTTCCTTACTTTAACTTATTTCAAAGGCTTTTTGCAGGAAATGATCCTCCTTCCCTGTGGATTCGATCCCTAAGTACTACAATTGATCAGATGTGCACTTGCGGCTATTGATTTCAATTAGGGTAAAACTTGACAACCCTCTCAACACACGACAACACACATCACGGTTGTTGCTGGGGAATCTTGACTGGCGGATTCTGTGTCGCTGCTGGATACTGCTGAGGAAGAACCGGCGGTGGTCTGGAATGCTGCAACACCGACGCCTCCGCTTCGTCCGACGATCGGTTGGTGGCATGAGACGACGAGCCGACTCCGCCGCTTGATCTTGCACTGGAGTTTAAACGGTCTCCACCGCCGGCTTTAACACTTCATCATCTACCTCTTTTTGAAGCCATTAGAAAGGATTCGAAAGATTTCGAGTTTTTAATTCGGGTTTGAGATTAGAGATTTGAAAGATTTCGAGAGAGGATTTGAGAGATTAAGGATTGGATATTAAGGATTTGAGAGAGATTTTGAGAGAGGGATTTGAGATAGATGATTTGAGAGAGATTTTGAGAGAGTTTTCGAGAGAGGCAGAGAGGATTAGGGTTTTCGGGGTTATGAGAATGAATTTTGATTAAGCGAGGAAGAATGATTTTTGTATTGTCTTTGTTTTTAACGGAGGAGATTTAAAAGAGTCGCAAGATTCAGTCGCAATTAATAAAATGGGAGAAATAATTGCCGCTTAAATTAACAAATAATTCAAAACTTTGGACCATCAATGGTCCTAAAAATTTTTACAAAAAGAAGTTGCAAAATCATATCTATTCAGTCACAAATTGCAACTAATGTTGGACTAATTGAGAAGAGTCACAAGTCAATACCCTAAACCCTAAATTTTTAGATGAAAAAATGGCAAAAACAAGACCTCACAATCATTCTTATTTCTATTTTAACACTATAACAATCTATTTTAATAACAAAATGAAGAAAGCTAAGTATTTTTTGAAAGATTTCTACATTTTCAAATCATTCCTTATAAGACTTATGCACATTCGAAACATTTAGTGAGAATTGGCAAAAAATGTAGAATATGAAAGTTTAACTTCAAGTATGAAGCTTTATTGTTTTATTTAGTTCTAAACTCTGTACAAATGTTTTAATTAACATTTTCCACTTCTATTTTGATAATGTTAAGCATACAATTAAAAGCGTTGCTAAGTTGTAATAAATGAGTCCCAAATTCAGGTGTTGGTCGCAAAATCATCTTTAAGCGGTCACAAATAACCAAGTTGCCATTCTAATGCACATAACCAAGTTGCCATTCTAATAATCAATTATTTTTTTTCCATAAAGTATTTAATCGTATATCCGGTAAATAATGAAAATCGATTTCTGGGCATATTGAACTCAGGACTGTTTTATACATTTTCAATGCACATAACCAAATTGCCATTCTAATAATCAGTTGTTTTTTTCCATAAAGTATTTTATATATAATCGTATATTCGGTAAAATAATGAAAATCGATTTTTGGGCATATCAAACCCAGGACCATTTTATACATTTTCAGTGCACATAACCAAGTTGCCATCGTATTAATCAATGATTTGGTTTACGAAAGTATTTAATACATAAACTTATATCTAATAAATTTCTTAACACACATCAATTTCTGAAATTTAAATACACATTAATATTTTTAGAGAAATTGAATGAATAGTCTTAAGAAACTAAAAGTTTTCTAACATAGCCCTTCATTTGGGAATCTACCCAAACTAGCATTTATTAAAGATTAAAAAATTAAAAAATTAAAAAATTAAAATGACAAAAAATAGATCTATTCTATTAAAACAGAAGCACATTTAGTGCTTGCATCCAAACACTCCCAAAGTTTTTTTTTTATAATATTATATTTAATTTTTATATTTAATTTCCGAAAATTAGTTATTAATTTAGATATTTTTAGATTTCCTAAAATCTAGGTCATCTTTAATTTAAATTTTAAATTATTAGAAATTTAATTAAATTTAGTTACAAAAATTTGCATTCAATTTAATTTAAATTCAAAAAATTCAAAAAAAATTATAATTAAATTTTATTACGAAAATTTAGATAATAATTTTAATACTTTAGAATTTCTTAAATACAGGAAAGATTTAATTTAAAATTTTTACTTTAAATAATATTTTTATAAAAATGCATAGTAAATAAATATTTTATCGTATTTTATCATAAACAATCGGTCTAAAATATCAAATATTTGAGATTAATAAATATTTATATTATACAATAATATGATCGAGCTGATAAGAGTTATATATATATATATATATTTAAAGTCCATGAGTTAATTTATTAAAACATATAAGATATTAAGATGATTTGAGACAATTAAACTAACAGGTTAGCCCGTTTATATATATATATATATATATATATATACATTTTTAATAGCACAAATAGTAAATAAATATCTTATTATATTTTTTCATAATCAATTGGTCCAAATATTCCATATTAGTAAATATTTATAGGGTTATACAATTATAATTATAGTCTTATACGGGTTAGTTTGTCAAAACATGTAAGATATTAAAAATGATTTAAGACAACTAAACGGATGAATTAGCAAATTCATAGATATATAGATTGTTTATGTGTAAATCTAAATTCACATAATAACAAAGTTTATAATTAACATTAGATCAATGTATACTTAATTAACGTATACTCTTATTCTACTAATATACAAATTTTACTGTTTAAAATTAAAATATTATAACAATTTTTTTATTTAAAAAAATAAATAATAAAAATAAATTATATCTAAACAAAAAAATAAATGCAACTTATATTAGAAATAAAAAATAAAACATTTTCGTGCGGACCTACGGAGTTAAAATCTAGTTTTCGAAAATGGAGATCGTCTTCTTCACCCTTGGATGGGTCAAAATTTATCATCGCGATCCTTCGAATTGAATAATGGAATCTGCTCCTCCAAAATCAATGAATATACTGAGGCGTTTCCTGGAGAATTTGATTCAAGAATCAATCGCAAAGTTCTAAGAGTTTATAAAATTGATTTTATACTTCGATGGAGTCTTGATGGCTGAGTAGAGAAACTGAAACAGATAATCGTGGAGAGAAGAAGACAGAGAGCAAGATGCCTCCAGAAGACGATTGATGCCCGGTCAGTTTCTACTCCTTTATAGTTAATTAGTTAGGCCTTACTTTCAAGAGATCTTTTAGAAATGTCTCTGTATATGTTACTTTTTCTCGCTTAACTCTTTCTATCTGGCTGATAATGAAGTTTCTTTTGCATAAGCAGGTTTTTAAAAGGATCACGAAATGGAGAAGAATATTGAGAATTGTGGTTTTGATGAGATAGGTTTTGATGAGATAGGTTTTGAGGGTTCTGCTATTATTAGCGAGGGATACAGTGTAGAATATAGTGTTTCTAAGGAGGCACCATGTGCAACAGAAGACCTTTCTACGTGGTAACGTAGAAGGTCGTCAGACTTTGGACAGGAAAAATGCTCTAACAGGATCCTCCTCTGGTTCTAATTCGAAGGGCTTGAGGACAAAACCAGAAAAATTGAGAAGAAAAGTTGTTGAATGCCATGCTGCTACTTGTGAAGATGGTGACAAAATCCTTGCAGCTGAATATTACGAGGGACTGAAAACCCATCAGGATGTGTATTCTTCAAGTGAAACAGTAACTTAATCATGCCTTAAATTTTCTGGCTCTACAAAGCTTAATCGTTCAGTTACTTGGGCGGATCAGAATGCTGGCCGTGGTGCTCTTTGTGAGGTTAGAAACAATGATATCAAAGCAGGTCTTAACCTGTCTTCTACTGATACAGAGGATGCCAATAGTGTATCACGCCTTGCATTATCAGAAGCCTGCGGGACGGCATTGACCCAGGCTGCCGAAGATGTTTCTTCGGAAGATTTAGATGCAAGTAATGCCGATAAGTTCATAGAAGGTGTTAATTATGCTATGATACGCTTTAGGTGTTCATACGTTGTTGATTTCCATAAGGTCCTGAATGTTGGACTTTGTCATGTCTTATATAGCTGCGAAAGCTGGAATCGTTTTGTTGCCAAGTACGCATCAACTTGCTGAAGAGGTTGACAAGGAGAATGTCGAGGAAGAAATGGCTGAAGAGGAACCAACTCTTCTGAAGTGGCCAAATAAGCCCGGGATTCCAGATTCTGATATGTTTGACCGTGATCAATCTTGGATTGATGGACCTCCAGAGGGCTTCAATCTAACTGTAAGTTTCTTGTAAGAATATACAAACTCGAGGGCTAAAGGGCTAATGTAATGACTGAGCAGTTTAGGAAGCCACCTTACACATTTAGGAAAACTATTCTAAACCGTATAAATTAGAACTTTTGTATCCATTTATATACAGCAACTCAAATTTGGTCACATATGTCAACACAATGTGACAACTGATATTGTTGTATGTTTACTTGAATATTTAGTAAGTTATTAATGTTTTAAATAATTCATTCTAAAACGTGTGATATGAACTTTTATGTCTATTTAAACAACAATTTAAATTTAGAAAGGGAAAAATGCCATTTAAATCCCAAACTTTCAAATTTAGACTAATTTAATCACGAATTATCGGTTAAACCCTTTAAACTACAAAGTTATATTGACTTTTTCTTTAAATCCCAAACTTTGTTTGACTAAGCCTAAAAAAGCCCAGCGTTAATTTGATTAACAGACCCAACTAACGGGGTTAACTCCTCTATTAAGTTTTTGTTAAATCAAAACGACAAGCTTCCACAAACATAAATCCCAAATCGAAATTTTTCAACCTAAATCATAAAATTGATTTTTCCCCAAATCAAAACCTTCTCCTCCAATTCCGTTGATAGAGATATCGATTAGCTCATAGAAATTTCGACTCTTGTCTCTCTCTATCTCCTCTCCTCTTTTACTTCCTGAATCGATGAATTCTTCTTCTGAACTATCTGGTATCATCGAAACCGTGGATTGCCTTCGAAGTATGTATGTGGATGTCATATCGAGTTTTTAAGGAGTACCTTAGGACCGCAAGCTTGAAATCATCAGCAGAGTTGAACGTTTTCCCTAACACTAGCAGCTCCTCAGGTTCTTCGAGCTCTCTCTGCCTTTCTCTTCTTTCTGCTTTCTCCTCGTCGTCGTCATCAGAGTCGGATGATAGTGGATCGGGGATCTTCTCATCATCCCATACATCATCTCCACTGTCTTCATCAACCCCAGCATCTTCATCTCTCGCTGCTTCTCAATATTCGACTAAACTATCGCATCGTTCTTCTGGAAGCACTTCAGCATTTTCATCTTCTTCTTCTACTCTTGCAGCATTCGTATCTTCTTCTTCATCAACAGCTTCATCATCAGCCTCATTGAAATCTTCATCACCAACGACCGCACAGTCATCTCCAGGTACAATGTCACGTTCAAGCTCATCTTCCCCGCCTTCAATTGCAACCTGATCCTCAACTTCGGGTTCTTTACTTTGACATGATGAATTTTTCTTACGCTTATTTTTCGGCATGATGAGATTGAGAAAGACGGATACGAACGAGGTATATGATTTTGATGAGAGAATCAAAATTGATTTTGGAATTAGGGTGGGTGTGGAATCGATTTTCTGAGAAATCGATTCAGTAATTAGGATTTGCGAGTTGATTTATTTGGGGATTTCAGATTTTTTTTAATTAGCATTAAGCTTGTCGTTTTGATTTAACAGAAGCGTTAAAAGGAGTTAACTCTGTTAAATGGATCTGTTAATCAAATTAACGTTGGGCTTTTTTTGGTTTAGTCAAACAAAGTTAGGGATTTAAAGAAAAAGTCAATACAACTTTATAGTTTAAAGGGTCCAACCAATAGTTCATGATTAAATTGGCTGAAATTTGAAAGTTGGGGATTAAAATGGCATTTTTCCCAATTTAGAAAGCAGTCTCCCACATTTGAGAATGAATTCCTTAAATGTAAGATGAGAATTTGTGTACTTTCATACAAATTTCGTTAGATGTACTTTCACAAATCCTACTCGCTATGTGGCTCGAAGTAGCTTTAATTTTGGAATTTATGAAACTTCTTGAACTTGTAGATAAGATTCTTACAAATTTGGTAAAGCCATCCTAAATTGTATCAAAGCAAAATTTATAAAGTTTTTCAAAATAAAATAAAATAAAATATCCAAACGTTTTACGAAGCTTTAGGAACCCATTGCACATGAAATTTTTTCTTAAGTTTTCAAAAACCTTCCTAAACATTTAGGAAGCTTTTTAACACATTTAAGATGACACTAGATTCTAACCCCATGCATCCGCACGAGAATATTTTTTATTATTTAACGAATTTTGTAATATAATTTGTGTTTTTGAGTTTAAATATAATTATTTTTATAAATATATTTTTTAATAAGTGAAAATATTGATTTTTGTGTTTAGATATATTTTTATAGTATTAAAATTAATTATGATTATAAAAATATAATTTTTACCCGTCCGCTAATATTAATTCAAAATGAACTATTATAAAAACATAATTCTAACTTTTCCGTTCATATTACCGTATAATATAAATATTTGTTATAAATTTGAGATGTATTAACAGTATTATTTAGCATTATAGTTTTCTAAAATTTAATCAATGAATGGAGTGTACAACTGGTTTTTCAAACCACATTTTAGTGTATGCAATAATTTTTATTTTTTATATTGTTATTTTGTATGAAAAATATATTTTTGAGATACATGTATAATTTAAAATTAGTGATTTTAGTTACCAAAATATTTTGAACCCGGTTTTTATGTATATTTTTAGTTATATAAATTTTAAAAAATATATTTTTAATATTTAAATTATACATTTGAATTTTACCTATTATTTTATTATTAATTTGTAAATAAATCATAATAGTAAATATATTATATAAGCAACATAAATATCATATCATTACATTATTATAAATATTTAATATTTCAAATATGACCATTATTTTTCATACGTGAATTATTTTTTTTTCAAAAATTCTACATATTTTTGATAAAAATGTTTAATAGTATAGAAATTATTTAAATTAGAATCTTTAAATCAAATCTAAATTAATATCTGATTTATTATTTTTAATCAAATCAAATCAAATCTAAATTACCTATATTTAAGGAACTCTAAAAATATTTAAATTAGTAACTAATTTTCGAAATTAAATATAAATAATTATTAAAATTATTTTTAAACACTAAAAAAAATTAGGAGTGTTTGGAAGCAAGTACTAAATGTGTTTCTGTTTTAATATAATAGACTAGATTTTAACCCCGTGCGTCCGCACGAGAATGTTTTATTTTTTATTTCTAATATAAGTTGCATTTATCGTTTTTTTTAGATATAATTTTTTTTTGTTATTTATTTATTTAAATCAAAAAAGTGTTATCATATTTTAATTTTAAACAGTAAAATTTGTATATTAGTAGAATAAGAGTATGCGTTAATTAAGTATACATTAATCTAATATTAATTATAAACTTTGTTATTATGTGAATTTAGATTTACACATAAAAAATATATATATATCTATGAATTTGCTAATACATCCGTTTAGTTGTCTTAAATCATTTTTAATATCTTACATGTTTTGACAAACTAACCTGTATAAGACTATAATTATAATTGTATAACCCTATAAATATTTATTAATATGGAATATTTGGACCAATTGATTATAAAAAATATAATAAGATATTTATTTACTATTTGTGCTATTAAAAAATGTGTATATATATATATATAAATTGGTTAACCTGTTAGTTTAATTGTCTCAAATCATCTTAATATCTTACATGTTTTAATAAATTAACTCATGGACCTTAAATATATATATATATATATATATATATATAACTCTAATCAGCTCGATCATATTATTGTATAATATAAATATTTATTAATCTCAAATATTTGATATTTTAGACCAATTGATTATGATAAAATACGATAAATTATTTATTTACTATGAATTTTTATAAAAATATTATTTAAATTTTAAATTTTAAATTAAATCTCTCCTGTATTTAAGAAATTTTAAAGTATTAAAATTATTATCTAAATTTTCATAGTAAAATTTAATTATAATTTTTTTTGAATTTTTTGAATTTAAATTAAATTGAATGCAAATTTTTGTAACTAAATTTAATTAAATTTCTAATAATTAGAAATTTAAATTAAAGATGACCTAGATTTTAGGAAATCTAAAAATATTTAAATTTATAACTAATTTTCAAAAATTAAATAAAAAAATATAAAAATATTATAAAAAAAACTTTAGGAGTGTTTGGATGCAAGCACTAAATGTGCTTCTGTTTTAATAGAATAGATTCCTAAATTTTTAGAAATAATTCTTAAAAATATAGAAAGTCCTCCTCAATCATATGTTAATTACTGCTTGGTCAAATAAAAATTAAGGAAGTTTTCCTAAACTTTTGGTTAAGCTTTCATAAATTTATAAAAAAAAAATAATTCTTCAAAAATATCATTTGAAACATTTAGGAAGTCCTTCTAAATGTTTTAGGATGACCTTACTAAATTTGTATGAATAATTACTAAATATCTAGATGTGTTTCCTAAATTTTGGAATTTATGAAGCAATTTCTAAATTTTAGGAAAATTTCTTACAAATTTAAGAAAATCTTCCTAAATTGTATGTTAAGAGTATGTTTGAATTTTTTACTAAATCATTTGATTACTATTTGATCAAATAAAAATTTAGGAAGTATTTCTACACTTTTAGCAAGGCCTTCGTAATAGTGTAGATAGTTTTTCTAATATTTGAAAATTCATTTTTAAATATTGAGGAAATTTTCTAAACTTTTAGGAAGACCTTACTAAAATTTATAACTTGTCATTCAAAGTGAATCGATTTTTCTAAGTGTTAAACTTCTAAACTTTTTTATTCAGGCTACAACTACGGACAACTACCAACATAAGAAGTAACAATCTCTCTATCTTCTATCAAACATAGCCGCCTTTCGGATTCACCTTTCTCCTTGATTTTTTTCTTGTTGAAGTATGTGCCCTGAACCTCGATGTACCCTCAGCCAAATGGTATAAACAAAATGTCAGTTACGTTCAACAAGCTATGTGTTCTGACCTTTATCGTACTGTATGTCCATCTGAAAAACTTTTGCTTGCCTAGAAGCAGTCACCCTTGAAAGAGTGCGTAATATTGGAAATCTGTTTTTTCCTAAACATCTTAGGAAATCTTAAATTTTTATCTCACAATTCTTACTTAAATTTAAACTTTATATTCTTATATGTCACAATTGTTGGACATACTAAATCTAAAAGTGAGGGAATGAAGCAAGATAAATTAGGAATCCTTCACCTCCATCGAAACAAAGACTGTTTACAAATTCAGGAAGCCCTTGCTGAAATATCATGAATCCTTCTTGAAATTTTCGTAATAGTAACAGACTGAGTCTAAAATGAGGCATTCAAAACCGTTTTTACCTCATAGAGATAATATATGCTCAAAGTGGATAAGATCCATGTAATCCAAAGTAACAAATTCTTCTCACAAACACAAAGGCATATACAAAGATTTTGAATATGACTACATAGAACGAGAATCAGTAGCTGAGTGATTCTTATGCGCTAAGAGCACCACCACCCTTGGCATGACCGTCCATCTTAGTGATAATTACAGGTCCCACAACAACACTTTGCTTAAATGCTTGAGCTTGATCAAATGCAACTTGACCAATACTGCTGTCCATAACAAATATAATGCGATCTGGTTTCTACAAAATGAATAGACCATGATCTACCTGCAAAATCAACCAGGAACAAACATAAGACTTCAAAATAAGAGATCATATCGTTACTTCAGGTTTCAGCAACTTGGCGATGCTAACATCTCTGTTTCAAAGCTCAGTGCCGTGTCTGTCTCAACGTCAAATGGGAAGTAAATGTTTCGGACACCCTACAATCGAAAGTTGAAGTCTTTAATGATCATAAGCTGAGGAATTCTAACTAGGAAAATTATAAGATCCGATCTTTTGTACTTATTAACCCAAAGATTCTAGTTTATAAACGAAAAAATCTGAAATATTATCAACTCCAGAATCGGAAAAACACTGATTTTACTACCCTGGAACTGTAAAAGGTCGCATTTCTCACATCTTGTTCATAGGTTATGAAACAGATTATGGATAAGAGTAATAGTAAAGTGATTGTTGTTACTTACTTTTTGTCAGTGATCCTAAGACGCAAGAATAAGCCACCACCATATCTTCTCTTGCATAATAAGTCCAATTTTCGGAAGGCGAAACTGCAGGACTGAAACTGGCGATTCCAGTCGGTGTCAGCCGTCGAATTAACTCAATTCTTAACTCGGTAGAGTAAAAAGCGGTCCAACTCGTCCTCTATTCAACTGAGTTCTCATGGGTTAACCGTAGACGAGAAACTCACCCCTCAAGCTTGGCTTATATTTAAACGAATTTACCGTCGTGCCACTTCGATGATCGGCGTTGGATAACAACGGAAACTGGATTCGAGACGGCACTTCTAAAATCGATCGTTGTTTTCTTCTAAAATCAAAATCACCGCCGTAAACTAGATCATAGTAGATGCTAGAGGTACCGTTTCTTTAGGTGACGTAGATGAGATGCAGAGGAGATGAACCTTCTAGTTAAATTAGGGCTTTGTCGGGAAGGATAGAGATGAGAGCAATTGAGTCTGTCAAGTCCGGTGACGGGACTATATCCGGCAATGATTTCTGCAGGTGAAGGTGACGATCGAAGAAAGTTTTTCAGGTACAAGTTTTTTAGTTTATTTAGGAGATTTTCTCTCCAACGAGTCCTATTGTCGTCCTCATGAAAAAGGAGGACTTCTTCTGAGAAAATTTAGTTTTTGGGGACTATTTTAGATAATTGCCCATATTTAAAACACGTTTATTTCTAAACACACATTAAATAAATTCAATTGGAGATACAAAGACCGGATGATAGTATTATTCAAATTCTCCATCTTCATCATCTGAAGATGATAAATTACAAAGAGGACGCATCTTCATCATCTGAAGATGATAAATTACAAAGAAATTCATCCTCTGCTTCTGCATCTTCGATCTCAACATCGATTTCTTTAGAACGATGGTTTCCCTCTAATAACACCGTATTTTGACCATTTTAATAGATCGATTTTTAATGCTTTTCAACTGCTTTTTATTTCTTTAAAGTGTTTTTACTATTATTTTTTAGTATTTGTAATTCCCATACTCTTTTCAAGTAATTAAAGCAAAAAGTGTGCATTTTATAGCAAAAGATCATTTTGGATAAATGTGGGCCGTCAGAAGTTTCACATCTGATGAAGATCTTCTCACCGTCTGATCATCCCCAAAATTGGACTGAATATAAAGGAGACAACTAGCTTGCAAATGCAATTGGTTTGAAGGCAATCCAATGGTTAGATCTTTGGATATACTTGATGCATTCAAGACATGTTTTGTAGTCTCTTGAAGGAAGCAAGCACAGAATGAAGATTCAACCTCAAAGACCAATCCCTGCGGGTCCAGGAGCCACGACCGCGGAGAACACACTCTCGACCATGGTTACGAGCCTCTGGCCGCAGCCAAACCCCAATTCACCGTGGTCAGAAGCCTCGCGACCAGGGCCGACTAAAAGGCTGGGCCATAACCCCGTTTCAAGCCCAATTCGTCTTCTCTTCATAGAAAACCCTAAGGACGACTGGAAAGAGGTGAAGACCTATAAATATGTATCTAATCAGACATATTTTCGTGTGCCTCAGAAGAATCCCTTTTGCGAGCCACCAAATTTAGTTTTTAGGGTTTTTTTTGTTCTTATGTTCTTAGTTCTTAGTTTAGGGAGATAGAGATTTCTCTTGAACCCTCTTTATGTTCTACCTTATTGTAAATTCGGTTTTTACTTCTATGCATCTTTCAATTTCGTTTTCATCTTCTTCATATTAGATTAGTTGTTTTAAAGGATTTGAAGAGAAGTTTTCTCCGAGCTTAGATCTCGAAATCGAGATGCTTCTTCTTCTTCTCCTTGTCTGTTTTTTCTCTACTTCTTTTTTCTTATAAATCTATGCACGTCTTTTCTATTTACTTTATGCACGTTTTGGAATGAGGAGGTATGATTTTAAAGGCTCGATTGAAGGGAATCGACTATGATCGATAGGGATCTTCGCGAGATAAACCAAAGCTGAATTCTAGAAATCATTCTTCTGAATTTATAATTAAAGCATGGATCTAGCGTCGCAAACTAGAGACTGATCCAGGTTCTTGGTGATGCGAAGGTATTAATCCGGGGCCAGATCTAGTTTGGGAGAGCAAAACAAACATAGGAGTGAAAACCTACCTATGGGCGATTTGTGAATGTTGACGAGTCTTAAACATAATGCATATTTTCTCTTTAGGGCCAGAGTGGAAACCTACTGGTCAGGGTTGAGAGAGATAGTTGTCTATGATCACGACAGTGGCGTATTCATACGTCCGTGACTCGAGTTCTAAGAATTTACTAGGATCAATATTAAGAGCTTTGTTCATCCTTTAGATTTATTATCGATTTATTCACTTCTAGTTTTTTAAACCCTTTTTAAAACCTTTTTTAAAACCCTTTTCAAAACCCTTTTTAAAACTCTTTTCAAAACCTTTTCAAATCCCTTTTTAAAATACATATATAGAAATCGCACAACCTATCCAAAACCCATTTTTCGTCTTAGACTTTGTTTACTAATTCTGGTTCTAAGGTTCTGCAGGTAAAGCGTGGATTCTCTGAGGATCGACACCCTAAGTACTACACCCTAAATTTTCTTTAATGATCAATCAACAAGTGGACGGATTTTATACGTACATATTGGCGAATCGAATTAGGTATATTGATTACAAAAAGTAGAATTCATGGAATCTTATATGAAATACCTTTCAAACGGCTGAAAATAGTCACAATTACGCAACACATATGCATGTGCACATTTATAATCTTTCTCATTTAGCCAAAATTCATTACTTTGGCCACTTGGACGACCTACTTGAGTGAATATATCTGGTACCGGTACAGGATATACAGGTACTTCACCTTCATCATACCGAGTAGACCTTCTTCTCCGAGTGGTTGAAATGTGCGAGGCAAAGTAATGTTCAGAGAAAAACAAAATCTCGTTGTTTATGTATGACTGAACTATTGATCCTGCAAGATATCTTTTGTTCTTCGCTCTGCCTTTTAGACGTTTGAAAAATCTTTCACAGAGATACATCCACTTATATTGTACAGGGCCACCAAGTTCCGCTTCGTAAGGTAAGTGTGTCTGTAGGTGCTCCATCACATCAAAAAAAGAAGGTGGGAAGATTTTTTCCAAATTACACAGAATCATGACAATTTTATCCTTCAGAATTCGGAGGCGAGTTTAATCCAACGATCTACTACTTAAGTCACGGAAGAATGCTATAATCTCTATAACATTATTGATGCTTCAGAAGTTATATATGTCTTATATGCCTTATATATATATATGTATATATAAATGATAATTGATGATTTATATAAATACCTGATAATGCAAGATGTATGTTATGTGGTAGAAGTCTGCAAAGACAAATGGAAGCAATCGTTCCATAAATACATGACCGTTGTGACTTTTCATTCCCGACAACTTTCCACCGTTGATGTCTGCACAACTAGCTAAATCGGCTACGTATCCATCAGGGAATCTAACATCATGTTTAACCCATTGTAGTAAGCTTTCTTTAGCTTTTGAAGTCAATCTCCAAATAGGAAATGGTGCTCTTCCTCGATCATCTAAATGCAATTCTTTTCGAGAACAAAATCTTGCAATATCTAATCTTGACTTTACTGTGTCTTTTGATCTGTATTTAACATTCATAACAGTATACATTATGTTATCAAAAAAATTATTCTCGATATGCATGATATCAAGATTGTGGCGTAGTATCAGATCAGTCCAGTATGGTAGCTCCCAAAATATGCTTTCTTTATGCCAATTATGAAAATCCCCAAAGCCGTCCTTCTTTTGTTCATGACCATTTCCACCGCAATCAGATGTTTTTTGTGGTTCTATATGCCTTATAAGCTCATATAAAACATGTTCACCAGTTAAAAATTGTGGTGGGTGGTCGTTCACTGCATGCTTCCCCTTAAGAAAGTTTGTTTTATTCTTTCGTAACGAATGATTATTAGGAAGAAATTTTCTGTGACAGTCAAACCAACATGTCTTCCTGCCAGCTGGAAGATAAAATGCCTTTGTATCATCTATAGAGATAGGACACGAGAGTCTTCCATGAGTCGTCCATTCTGACAACATACCATATGCTGGAAAATCACTAATAATCCACAAAAAACAGCTTTCAAGTTGAAATTTTGATTTAACAACACATCATTTGCCTCAACTCCATTATACCATAACCCCTTTAACTCGTCGATCAGTGGTTGTAGGAAAACATCAAGACTGGCTTGTGGATGATTTGGTCCAGAATTAAATATTGTGAGAAACAAATACTCAGTATTCATGCACATATCTGGCGGTAAGTTGTAAGGAGTCATGATCACAGACGACAATGAGTGATTTTTTGACATACCAAAAGGATTAAAACCAGTACATAACCCAAGATTTACGTTTCGCGTTTCTTCGGCAAACGAAGGATTCAAATGTTGGAAATTCTTCCACTCTGCCCCATCAGATGGATGATACATTATTCCGTCTTCTGATTCATGTTCAGTATGCCATCTCATCGATGATGTAGTCTTCTCTGACTGGTACAGTCTCTTCAATCTGTCACTAATAGGTAAATACTACATACGACTGAACGAGATTTTTGTGCGTCCTTCACTGGCCTTATATCTAGGTTTTGCACAGAACTTGCAATGCTCCAATTGCTCGTCTTGTTTCCAGAAAAACATACAGTTATCTATACATACATCACATGTATTGTATGGCAGTCCTATTTTTCATATCAAAGTTTTTGTCTCGTAGTACGAACTAGGTGCTTGATTACCCTCTGGTAAATATTCCATAAATAATTCAGACCATGAGTCCATGCAGCTTTCAGCAAGTTTATGGTCTGCCTTAATGTTCATGAACCGAGCAGCCAAATATAGCTTTGAATGACCTTCACGACAGCCATCATATAGTGAAGTATTTGCAGCATCTAACATGTCGTAAAACCGTTTTGCCTTCTGGGTAGGTTCTTCATGAACATGATCATATCCACTTTGATCATGTTCATTATGATCATACTCATTATGATTAAATGGTGTAGCACCGTGAAATGCATCATTGACCATCCAGCATAGGCATTCCCTCCATCATATGTTGTTGGTTGATGATTACCAATATTATGATCTATATTATCAAAATGAGGAATATTTGATCCTCCACCAACCACATCATAATCTTCACCATGTTCGGACCCTACATAATATCCCGGCATGAATCCTCTACTATGAAAATGCCTAGAAATTGTACTTCCTTGTAAAAATTTGTTATTTGTACAATTTACACAAGGACAGTAAAAATTTGTTATTTGTACAATTTACACAAGGACAGTTATTTGTAAAAATTTCTTCGATGAGTTCATAAACCTAAGTGATGATTATTCAATTCTCATACTTAGGGATTTGCAAAGAATATTGAAGTAAAAATATTATTCTATATCTGAGAAAACTAGTTTTTACAAAACAAAAATTTGACGTCATTGTAATTGTCTTTTTCAATCTATGAATAAGTTCTTTCTGTTATTTTTTATTTATTTATTTATTTTTTTTTATCATAGAATAGTTTTGATTAAAAACACAAATTAGTAGTCAAAATTAATTACATAAAAAATTCAGTAAATGAATCCCTTAAAAAAAATCAAAACCAAAAATATTACATTAATATATGTCAATCATAAGCTGAATATAAAATGTAATTTTTTGTATTTTTCTCGTTTTATCTATTTCACGCTATCATGTGAAATTTTTATGAACATGAGGTAAAAAAAAAGTTATTTTATTTTCTTAACTGACTTAGCCAATACAAATATCTGATTTAATATTGTACATTGAAAGAAATACTAATAATCACAATTCTTGCATTCGGATTCATGAAATGTTTTTGTCTTGTATCATATTATTTATGATAATTTTTAAATAGTTTTTAATGATTATACCTCATTTTTTCTAACCAAAGTGAATAATTTTTTTTTCATTTTATTAATTTTGATTCTCATTATATTTGTTTTCTATGGAATACAAAAATCAAGATAGTCAAAACCTGTTATCCTTTTTTAGCTACTTTAATTAGTACAAATTTTGCAGTTTAATTTACAAATAAAAAAAAGCAAACTAATTAGTACAAATCTTACTCTTGTATTAAAAAAAAATTAGTTTTGAAACCAAGACAAAATATGATTATGCAATGAACTTTGCAACAAATTACTAATAACAAAAACTGACAAAGTAAATATGCTTCTCGTTTACTTCAAACATATAAAAACCGTAATTTTGCCTGATGATATATATTAAACGCATTCACGATCTTATGTAACTTCAATTAAGTATTTTTAACTTTAATATAACTTTCAGGCCCGTATGTGGTAGAAACCAAAGCTGGAAGCTCCCGTACAAGCCCCTTTGCGGTAAGTAGTTGCGATCTCTCCTCCTTGTTATGAGGCTTACCGAATATATTCAGATGCTGCTTGGTCAGTTAATTGTTACATTTGTGGTTCAAGTTAGGTTGTTAAACCTCTGTTAGATGTCATGTTATTCCAAGGATCTTGTCGGATATCTCAGTCTCCTTTGCCTTAATGACGGAACCTCTTTCTCTATTTTCAGTGCTTCGTTTATTAAAAGTGTAGGGTATCAATCATATGACATGTTTCTAGGATTGCTTGGAATTTATCATTTTTCTCAAATCCGGTGGCCAAGCTTTGGAGATTTACGCTCTTCTTTTTGACAATAAAGTAGCTTGTAGTGGCTTTGTCTATATTTCTTTTCATCATATTCTTTTTTTAGCTAATATATAAACAGATAGTCTAGCCAACTTGATTCTTTTACGCTGTAATGACTCCTTCTTTTGTGAAAACTAACTCTATTATTTTGCTTTTTTGAATTGAAAGATTAAAAAAATAATTAATATTTATTATAGTTATGTGACAAAAATTTGAATGCTAATATAAAAGTCTCTAAATATGTGTGCATATATACGTAAATAAATTTTACTATTTTATCTGTTCTTAGTTATTGATATAATTGAAACATCTAATTTAAATTTAAAATATTTCTACATTTTAATATAATTTATTTTACTTTTTTATTATTCATATAAAATTTTATACATAATTTCTTCTATTTAATAATTTTTAGAAATAATAATTGAATTTATAAAAAAAAAATTTCAATGTTAAGGTGGACCAATGAAAATTTTATATAGAATTTTCTTATTCAGCAATTATATTAGAATTTGAAAATTTTCTTAATTTTGAATGCTGATGTAGACCAATAAAATTACTCTTTAAAATCCTATGTGGACACTCTTAGAAACATTTAGATTCAACTTTTATTAGTTGTAGATGTATGTCGTGTGTTTATCTTATGTCCTATTTGGCTTTTTGTCAATTTTAATTAGTCGTTCATTTATCCTACATGTACTTTACAGTGACGTGGCAATTTTTGTTGTAATTAGGTCACTAAAGCCCATTTTATTCTAAAGTATATTGGTTAGTTTCATTATAAAGCTTGTGGTTTTCTTATTATTGGTTTAATCGTCTTTCCTTGGGAGAAAGTTCGGGTTACAAAGAATAAAAATAATGTCTAGAAGTAATGACTAATTCAGATTTGAACCTTAATATAGTATCAAAGCTAACAAATGGATTTTTTACCTACACGCCGATATAATAGTTTTGTGTCCACGCTTGTTTGAAAGATAAAAACCAACAAGAATAAGAAATAATCCGGTGAAAGAGGGAGATATTTCCAGCTAAAGAGAATGAGGAATTACAATAATCTATAATCTTAATGTATACAAATAATGATTATTTTAGAGATGAAGCTTAACATGGTATCAAAATTACCAAAGAAATTGTTTAATTACCTACGCTCTAATATCAAATTTTCATGTCTGCACTTGCATAAAAGATAAGTACTGACAATGAGAGATAATTTTCGGAGACTGAAGAACTAAAATTTCTTTAAACTTAATATATATAATGAAAAATTCAGAGATGAAACTAAACATGGTATCAAAGCTAGCAAAAAAATATTTGTTAATTATATATGGTTATATAAAATGGTTTCATGACCATGCTTACGTGAAATATAAAAATCGACAAGGAGAGTCAATTCGGCCAAAACAAGGAGAAATTAGAGGCTAAAGAATGACTAATAAAATAATACGTAAACTTAATTTATACAAGTAATGATTACTTTAGAGATAAAGGTTAACATGGTATCAAAACCACCAAAAGTATCTTTTACCTACGTTGTAATATTATCGTCTTGTGCATGTGTTTGCGTGAAAGATAAGAACCAATAAGAAGAAGAAACAATTTCCATTAAACGGGAAAAGAGTTATGGCTAAGGAGAACAAAAAATTAAAGGTTACATCGTAGAAAGAACTCAATTTTTGCGAGCCTCTATGGCTCGGACAGTGGCCGAGATACGCGCCATGAAATCTGGGTTTGCTTCAATGAAATCTCGGACAGTGGCCGAGATACGAGCCTCAATAGCTCGGGCAGTGAGCTTATTGGCTTCGATAAGATATGGGTTTGCTTCATCGTAGAGTTTAATGGGAGGCTCTCGGATCCATCAATGCGATCTCACAATATCCTTCCCCCTTTCTTCTCTGGAATAACGATGATCCATCTCACCGTGGCGAGCAAGCAAACGGTTCGAAGAGACGTAAACAACTGCAAAATACAGTGAGGAGGAAACGCAACAGAGCGTACTGCTGGAGAAATATGAGACGAAGAGTTCCGGCGGTGAGAGGCGAGAGGGACGATGAAGATCGGAGGCTCAAGATAAGCGGTGATGAGTCTCGATTGAAATCGCCCTTGGGAGCCCTAGAGAGCGCTGGAACTAAAGCATCCAACCTTACGAAATTTCCTTTTTAATGGCATTCAATTGCATTAAAATTCAGCATCCAAACTCAAAATTCTAAAGTTTTGCTTGGGGTTAGGCTTTCAAAACTTTTAAACATTTAAAAGCTATTAAACCTCTTTTTTTTTTTGCTAAGCATATTTTTTTTATTAAATCTGAAATCGTAAATGAGTGATATGGGTTCCCATGGTCCACGTTTTACCTGGTGTAACAAGAGGACTGAAGGTTTAGTTAGTAAGAAGCTGGATAGACTTGTTATTAACGATCTCTGGCTGGACAGCTTCCCAAATTCGTATTGTGTTTTTGAAGCTGGAGGTTATTCTGATCATCTTCGGTGTCGGTTTCACATTGACGGAGAGATTTTAAAGCTTAAGCGTCCTTTTAAATTCTCAAATATTGTAGCAACATTGCCGCAGTTCCATGAAGCTCTGAAATTCTTTTGGCATGAAACAGCAACTTTGTTCCACTCGACATCTGCTCTGTTTCATTTTTCCAAAAAGCTTAAGAACTTCAAGCCAGTTGTAAGACAGATTTCGCGAGAGGCTTTAAGTGATATCTCCAAGCGTACTAGGATCCACTATGAGGATTTGTGCATTAGACAGGAGCAGAATTTACAGAATCCATCGATCCAAGCACATCAAGCAGAAAGTGAAGCTTTTAGAAAATGGGAAAAATCTGCAAATTTAGAGGAGCGTTTTATTATCCAAAAGGCGAAGATAAATTGGATGGCAGCTGGAGATAAAAACACAAAGATCTTTCATAGAGCAGCGAAGGTGCGCACTGCTCAGAATGGTATCAGGGAGCTGGAATCAACATATGGCAATCTAATTCAAGGAAGCACTGAGATTAAAGAGGCTGCGGTTAACCATTTCTCAAACTTTTTGAATGAGGAGCCTGAGGATATCCGAGACACTAGTGTGGTAGAATTGATGTGGACCTTCTCCATTACCGATGTTCAGATGCTGAACAACAGATCGGAAATCAGACAGTAACAGAGTCTGAAATCAAGGGAGTTTTATTTGAAATAGCAGCCAACAACGCTCCCGGCCCGGATGGATTTACAGTGGAATTTTACAAAGAAAGTTGGCCGATTATTGGGAATGATCTGGTGGTGGGGATCCAATCATTCTTCATCAAAGGTTTTCTGCCCAAATGTGTAAATTAAACCATTATTGCCTTGGTATCTAAAAAGAAAGGAGCAAAACAAATCAAGGACTATCGACCCATTTCGTGTTGTAACGTGATTTACAAGATAATTTTGGCAAATCGGTTAAAGAACATTCTGTCGTTGTTCAAGATAGACTTTTTATTGAGAATCTGCTACTGGCATCAGAGTTGGTATCAGGATATCATCAAGACTCGATCTCATCCAGATGTGCTCTCAAAATTGATATCGCGAAAGCTTTCGACACTGTTCAATGGGGTTTTCTGTTGAATATTCTTCAAGCGTTGAATATTGTTATGGAGTTCATTCATTGAATACTACTATGCATCTCTACAACTACTTTTTTGGTTCAAGTGAATGGTGAACTGGCTGGGTATTTTGGGAGATCCCGTGGATTGAGACAAGGCTGCTTTCTCTCACCGTATTTATTCGTTGTTTGCATGAACGTACTGTCCAAAATGCTTGATAGGGCTGCCTCACAAAGGAAATTGGGTTATCACCCAAGATGTTCTAATATAGGTCTCACGCACCTCTGTTTTGCGGACGATCTTATGATATTTTCTGATGGTAAATTGAGATCTCTGGTAGGGATTGTAAACGTGTTTGATGAGTTCACAAAGACGTCTAGACTGCGTATAAGCTTGGAGAAATCCACTGCTTACCTCGCGGGTGTCACAGCATCTGCAAGAGATAACATTGCCCAGCGTTTTGCTTTTAATTTCGACACTCTTCTGGTACGTTATCTCGGCTTGCCGCTGCTAACGAAGAAGATGCGGACGTTAGATTACGCGCCACTAATTGACAAGATCAAGGAGAATTTCAACTCATGGATAACATGCGCTCTCTCTTATGCGGGGCGACTTCAGCTGCTTACATCTGTAATTGAGAGTTTGGTGAATTTTTGGATGGCAGCTTTTACACAACCTAATTGGTGTATTGATGAGATCGAGAGCCTCTGCTCAGCATTCCTTTCCGTCAGGACCAGATCTTAACCCAAAAAGAGTAAAAATTTCATGGAAAGATGTAGGCAAGCCAAAAACTGAAGGGGGATTGGGTCTTAAGGATCTAAAAGCAGAAAACAAAGTCTGTACTTTGAAACTTTTGTGGAGAGTTATTACGGTGGACAACTTCAACTGGTTCGCTGGTGCAGATCGAATCTTATGAAAAAACTCTTCTATTTGGTTACTTCCTGAGCCGCCAAGGTATACTCCAGGAACTTAGACATGGAAACAGATAATAAAATCTAGAAATCAAGCTGCTGCGTTCTTGAAAGCGGAGGTACATAATGGGCAGAAGACTGTTCTGGTATGATATCAAGCTGCTGCGTTCTTGAAATCAAGCTGCTGTGTTCTTGAAAGTGGAGGTACATAATGGGCAGAAGACTGTTCTGGTATAATAATTGGTCACGATTAGGGAGGATACTGACGGTCACAGGAACTCGTGGTTTCATTGAACTGGGAATTCGTGAGGATGCAACACTTGAAGATGTCATTCTACGACACCGTACGAGAAGGCGCCGTTACCCCATTCTTAACACAGTTAAAGAGGTGATAGCTGCTGTTAGTCAAGGGTACCGAGAAAATGAGGAAGATACATATCTCTGGAAAGTGAAGGAGAATACGTATAAGCCAGTATTCAGGATGCATTCGACGAGAGAACAAATCAGAAGTTCGGCACCAAAGGTTCCTTGGGCTGGAGGGACTTGGTTCACTCATCAAGCTGGGCATCTAGAAATCAAGCTGTTGCGTTCTTGAAAGTGGAGCTACATAATGGGCAGAAGACTCTGTTCTGGTATGATAATTGGTCACGATTAGGGAGGATACTGACGGTCACAGGAACTCGTGGTTTCATTGAACTGGGAATTCGTGAGGATGCAACACTTGAAGATGTCATTCTACGACACCGTACGAGAAGGCGCCGCTACCCCATTCTTAACACAGTTGAAGAGGTGATAGCTGCTGTTAGTCAAGGGTACCGAGAAAATGAAGAAGATACATATCTCTGGAAAGTGAAGGAGAATACGTATAAGCCAGTATTCAGAATGCATTTTACGAGAGAACAAATCAGAAGTTCGGCACCAAAAGTTTCTTGGGCTGGAGGGATTTGGTTCACTCATCACTGCCCTAAATATTGTTTCATTAATTGGCTTGCGGTGCAAAATCGCCTCAGTACAGTAGATCATATGCAGGCTTGGAGCTCAAATACACAAGTTACATGTGTCTTGTGTCAGCATTCAGTGGAATCACGAGATCATTTATTCTTCACTTGTCCCTATTTTGCACAAGTTTGGACGACGTTAGCGAGAAGATTGCTTGCTTCAGACTTCTCTTTGGCATGGCTTGAGATTGTCACCAGGGCGGAGGTATATGCGTCGGTACGGGGTCAAGTGCCCCCTACTATTTTTCATTTTTTAAAGTATTTTAAGTAAATTTAATTAAAATGTTTTTAATTTAATGGTGAAAAGAAAAAAGTACCCCCATCTATAAACTTTCTTCTATTTTTCTAATTTTATGCCCCATCTCAAAAACTTTTTGGATCCGCCACTGGTCGTCACCTTTATCTCCAAGTGAAGATTTATCACCAGGTATTTGTTTCAGGCGGTCATTTACACCCTGTGGCGAGAACGTAATGAACGGAAACATGGAGCGTCCCATCACCAATCTCAAAACTGATCAAGTTTGTCGACAAGGATATTCAGAACAGATATAGCTCAATCGGACTCCTCCAAGATTCTCTATACGAAAGAGGGCTACAACTTTGGTAGTCTCTATCAGACAAGTGGACTAAAGAAGTGGAAACTAAATTTTGTTTTTACCGTTGTTTACAAATTTGAATTCTCATTAAAAGCTCACATGAACAATGAAGAAAACGTTGATTTTTTCGGATTTTAATAAATTTAACGTTCATCTAAAAAAAATCGTAAAAAATCGTAAAAGCTACACTTTTTTTATTTCTAAAAACTACTTTTACAAAATAAAAAGAAAATATATATATTTATTTTTCTACGGCCAAAAGTTTCTAAAACCAAGAATATCTCTATATTATTATTTAAGTAGACATTTGAAAAGAATAACCTTTATTTTATAAAATATTACATGATATGCCATTACAAATAACAAAGATTAATTAAAATAGGAAAGAATATAGTTGTCTTTCAAATCTATTGAAAAAATATGGAAAGTCTATATTTTCCATTTAATAGAATATATTTATTATTTAATTTCTATTTTAAAAAATATGGTAGTTTTTGTTTCAAATAATATCATAAAGTATATTTAATTAAAAAATATGAAATTAAAAAAAATTCACAATTAAATAATATAAAAATCAAGACTAAAATTTATGATATAAAAAATGGTGAAATATTTTTTTACTATAATTTTTTATATTTACTTGATTATATATAAAAATAATTTTTGAGTTATTTTTACCAAAAATTTGACATTGATTTTTATTTAAAAAGTTTGTGATAAAGTGAGAGTTATTAAACAGTGCATATTATAATTAGTTTTGTATTTTAATCTAGTACAAATATGTTAAATAAACGGATTAGTTCGATATAAACAGATGATGATTCTAAATTTTTAATATCCATCAAAAAAAATCTCACAATACAAAATATCAGTTTTTTAAAAAAGATTGTATATTTAATATATTTAATATTATAATTTATCTTTTTAAAATTAAATATAATTTATTGTATTTTAATTAATTTTATATCAAATCTAAGTTTAAAGAATATTATATTTATTTACATATATAGTTAAAGAAGATAAAACTGATTTTTTATACTTTGTGAATACATTATAAAACTCAGTTATTCAGTAATGTAAATTAGATTTGATGATTATAATATTATAATATTTTGTATATTAACCTCAATAATATATTAGTCTAATATTATTGGATTAAAGAAACAATTTATTTTGTTTTACCCGCTTATAATATAACTTCATACGGTTCAGTTTTTACAGTTCAAACTAATAAATAAAAATGACTTTATATACAAATTAATTTGTTTTATAAAATTCATAAAACAACTATTTATTGTTTTTGAAAATAATTATTTTACGTTTCAAAAAATTATCTCGGCGCTACACCGCGGATTAATTCCTAGTTTGATTATAAAATCAATATAGGCTCCAAAAAATTGACGAAACGAGCACCATGCTAATGCAAAACATCTAATTATAAAAACAACCATAACAATAATGCAAAACATAAATTTAGAAATAAACATCACAGTAATATTTCCAACATATTGCTAACTCTGGGTTAATATCATATCTAGTTGTGTTTCTAGTCTCCTCACCGAATATACACATAGACCCTACTAGACGAGGTGTGTGTACCTAAAAGGAAGGTTTGTAAGGATTTTTCAGGCAGAAGGGAAGTATTTGTGGAGATTGAAAGGAAGAGCATAGAACTCTTCGGTCCTCGGGTCACCCTTGAAAGTCCAGAATCTGTCCCACCAATGTTTACCTCGGTCTTTCCTGATCGAACCATCTTTCTTGTGAAGCGTCGTGTCCAACAAGTAAGCCACGCACCCTCCCACAAAGGCCTTGGACGAGAAGGGAACATTGACCATGTCGTTGAACCATCTTGCCCCGGTATGAACTGGACCATAGCTTTTAATGGCTGTGTGCTCGTTAAAATATTGCGGAATTGATAGGCCAAGGAAGATTGAGAAGCCCAATATGAACAACGTCCTGAAGCTATTCAGGTTGCAATATTGCAGCAAACTCAGTCCTCCAGCACCTGATCCACAGTATTTGTGTGTTTAAACATGAGATATAGCAAAACTTGGATTACTTGTGTGTTTTAAACAGGAGATATTGCTTGTTTTTGCTTATAAACAACACTTGCCTACATACGCAAAGAAGAGACAGTACAAAGCGGCAATGATAGGAGCAGGTATTGATGCAAACACCGCCCCGAACTTCCCTGCATTAGATTTATGTAAGACAATCAATTAATGAGTTCTACTACAATTCTTGATGGATTTTACTGAAACAGACAGGCTTACCAAGAATGGAGAAGAATATCATAAAGCCTGCAGATATTTGGACAACTCTCCTACTACCAACTTTTGTAAGAGCTAGCAGACCAGCATTCTCGCTGCGACACATGTGAAATCAAAAGCAACGCATGATTCAAAATCAACTCATGTCCTAGGTTTGGAAAAGTTAAATATGAGGTCTTACATAGAAATTGAAGACCCTATGCCAGTTCCAAACAACCCTGAAACCAAAATTGCAACTCCCTAAACAAGAAAGTTAACATAGCTGAGACAAGTTATCAATGACCCAAGAATATTTCATCGATGCTATTTGTAAATGAAGCTTATGACTTACCTGCCAACCAACACCGCGGCTGATAACAGAAGGGGGCGGCATTGTGGCACTAGCATATCTTGAGACAGCAATAAAAGCGCCCGTCGACTGTTTTGTTTTATGTTTTTTTGTCGATAAACAAATCAAACGAAGGAGTAAACAAGACAAGCTAAACTAAACAGCAAGAAAATTCATAGGAATCAAGAAATGTGTCACATTGGAGATTTAAACTTACTGAGTATGCAACCTATGAATTTCATTAAATGAAGGAAAACATGTTATATATACATCATACATGGATATGAAAATTAGTGCCTTAACCTACGCTTTCAAGTTTCATATCTAGCAGATCAGCAGTTAATTGTGTAACATGAGTCATGACTACAAGTGGTATAGATGATTGAAACAAACCTCAACAAGAGAAACAAAAGAAGCCATCATCATGGCAAAGGCTTCACCGGCATCAAACAATGGTGCTCCCCACTGGAATGGCCATGGAACTCTTATCCTGCACAGTAAGGCAAGCCTAAAATGGTAAGCCACACTTGAGCATCAAAGCCTTTAAAGAAGATGAATTTCTTGCTAGATATCACTCAGCGAGACATCCAATGTCCAAGCTATGTGCTCTCTATTTACCATGGAGCAGCACTTATGAGCCCGGCACGATCAGTCCGACAGCTTCTTTGAGTATTTGCCCCAACACCTTTATAGGCACCACCAATTGTAAGAAAGAAAGCATAAAGCCATACTATCCCCACGGAAAATATGACAGCATAGCGAGCAAATACATGTCTTCCTCCCTTCATAACATGGGGCATATACTGCAAAAAGTACCATCTAGACGGTAAGAAACATCAAACCTACTGGAAACAGGAAAGAACACATTTCAGATTATGTAACTACAATTACCTGTGATAAAAGTATAAGTATAATAAGCCCTGGCAGTCCAATCTCAATACAATTAGCAACCTGGCCCAAATAACAAAGAATCATTCCACTACTTCAATATATATAGATATTACCATTTACAGAACAAGATGACTTACACCGGGAAAGCCTAACTCATACAGGCCAAAACCAACTAATCCAACCAGAGGAACAGCAGACAGAGGACTTAAGAACCTGCAATTACAGAAGTTCAATACCATATTCTTCACCCACACAGTGGAGCAAGATTTTAGTCTAATGTTATTCAAAGTCTGACCTTACAACATTACGCCAAAGGCCACTAAAGCCAAGGATAATTTGAAGAGTTGAAGCAACAATTAGAGCTCCTTGTGTTGCCCGAATGATCCTCGTGAACCGCTGATAAGGTATCATCAAAACGGCAAGTACACTAATAATCAAGCTAACCAAAATTTTATTGATAGAAACAGTAGACCAAAAAGATAAAAAGAAAAAAACACAATATGGAATAAGTG